GCCTTGTAAAGAGTGATGTGCTTTGTGCACAAACCAGAGGGAGGAGGAGCGTACTCAAGGGTGATGTGAGAAATGATTTGGAAAGCATTTCAATATATCCAGAGCAATTAATGCCATGGCAGCTTCCTTAACAAACTTAAAAGATCAACAGAAGACATGTTGGTCTTTGAACATACCAGTTGGCTTATCATGATGCAAGCGATTGTGTAATTTTTTTTTTAAAGTAAAGATTTCAATATTGACTTTAGTTTGGTTTGAAATTATGTTAAATGATTACTGGGGTAGAGGGGCATAAGTGCCTGAGACCTTGCAGCTCTGCAGATGTGGATGTTCCTATCCTAGCTCAAAGTGAGACAAGCTGGGTGGTGTAGAGTAAAAATTAGGACAAAACAACCAAACAGTGGTGACACAACTTGGCTCAGTTGGTTGTGCCTACTCAAGAGAGGCCCAGGACTTGAATAGTGTTAGGAGTGCATTAGCGGAGCTGTGACTGGAAGCTTGCATTGCACTAAACCTAATTCTTATCAATGCTGTTAGTCTTTTCCTTTCATGAGTACGAAATTCATACATTTTAAACAATAATAGAGAGAATCTTTGCTCATAGGGCAGAGATTAGAAGCAAATTCGCTACTTAAAGCGGTAGTGGTTATAACTAAACCATGATGACTAATCTGAAAGTGTTACTAATCAGTGCTTTTTAAATGCATTCTAGTTGTATAGCACTTAACCACCGTTCTCAGTGTAAACATCTTTATGGAGTATATTGTGTAACAGTCCTTTCACTCCATATTTATTTTTTTTCAAAGCTGCCAGTAGCTCTTGCTCTTTCCTTAAACCCATAAGGTGTTGACTTGGGGTGGAAGGGTTGTTTTTATTTGTTTTGGGGTTTTTTAACTGTTAAGCTTGCATCAAGGGCTTCTCAAAAGTACAATAATAAATCCTCAGGTAGTACTGGGAATTAAAATTTTACCTGTGAGACTGTTGGTCAGACCAGTACTTGAAAGGGGGAATATTGTAAGCAGTCAGTATTTAGTATATTATTGGAAACATGAAAAATTGAGTATAGAAAAATGATATAATATATAATGGATCATTTGTGTATTTAAGATACAGTATGTGATTGCTTTGTCCCCATTATTCTCTCCATCATCTGGTAGAATATTATTGTAGGGCAACATTTGTACCCCCTTTGTATTAGAATGCATGTAAAGTCTTCTAGTGTCCTGATTAAATACCATGTGCTTGAAAGATGAAAAAACTTATACTTCTGCTTACTGATGTGCCCAGATAATATTTGCATGATCTGATCATTTAAGTGGCTGTGGTTCAAAGGATGTTGCTGAAAGTGTCTTCATTCAGCGATACATTGATTTGGTGTTTATCAGGTAACATGTACTTGCCTAATATTTGGCACGATTTTCTATTGAATTTCTGCATACTCAGTGTAACCCAGTTGTTTAGCATAGTTCATTTCAGCTGAGTAAGTATAATACAAACATTCCAAAGTGTGTATTAAGCCATATTCACACCTCACCTCCAGTCAATTTTGGCAACAAATATCTCAACAATTTCAGAATGACTTGCTGTGCTGCCTTCAGAAACTTGCACTTGGGGAAACTCTGCTTTTTGGAAAGGTCACCAATAAAGCAAGGTTTCAAGTGAGTGTTTTGTGCCATTGAGCCCTAACTGATCTCTAGAAACAGACTGGTGAAATAAACGAGTGGCCCATAAACAGAATGGGACTTGCTGTATTTCTCTCTCTTTGGACAAATGTAAATGTTGGGGTTGATGAAAGCATAGCATCCCTCCTTAGAATCCACAGTTGTACTGTAGTTGCAACCTTTTCCACAAAGAAAAACTTAGACACATTTCGCTATACAGAGAGAGAGAGCCACTCTAGCTAACATGTCCCTTTCTCCCAGCTAACTTCACTACTTGGCTTTCATCTGTTTAAAGTCAAGGAGGCCTTGTACGGTAGTGGGAACATACAGTGGAATGCCCTGTAAGCCGTGAGGTGTGTGTGTATAAGGCTTATAATGCTAAACTGTAAGCATTTTGTTTTGATGTCCTGTATATGTATGTAGTAGTTTGGGTGTGTGTATATACAGTAGTGTTTCAAAGTGGGTGTATTGATTAACCTGTTCTTGGAAAAATGGACAAATATCCATGTTAAAATTGTTAGAAAATTAGCTGCTCTGCTATATGCCTTAAGCAAATATTTACTCATCAGGTCTTTCTTTTTTACAGATTGCCATAGAATAAACTTTTTTAAAAAAATATATAAAAAAATAAAAAACAAAAGCTAAATGTTTTGGTATAATACATTTTCAGGTATCTTGTCTTTTGTGTAAGGCGCTGCAACGACCTCACAGTTTTCAGTAACTGTACAGTTTTTCAATTTCCCATACAAGTTTTCAGTTCTCATTTTAGTTGCAACAATAAAATTTTTTTAAAGAATGGATGTATGAGTCTTTCCACTTCCTGTTTTATCATGGAGGTAGAGATGATTTAGTCACTAACAAATTTAGACCCTTGGGTTATCAACAGGATTTCACCTCCTACTGATTATTTTGTGATTTCTCACATTAATAGAAAATGTTAAGAATATTTCCACTAGTGCAGAAAACTTGCTTTCAGGTCAGTAACTAGCTGTCTGCTATAAAATAAAATGCATTTTCACTACACATGGCTTACTCATAGATGTTCAACTGAGTTTAAATACGTAGTGTTTAGGTCATATCAGTAAACTCTATGATGTGCCACCTGCAACATTAAAGATCTCTAAAGCACTGTAATTGTTTTTACAACAGTTTAGCAAATCAATCCACAGCTGGTAAATTTGTTCTTCAGGATGGGACTACACGCTACAGCAGTCTGTACAACAAGGATTGCTGCAGATGTAAATATGACATCTCCAGGTACTCTGGGTGCTTTGAGACTTTTTAATGAGACAAGCTTCGGGCCTTTTGATTACCCTTAGATCAGCATCCGTTATTAGAGTGGTGGCTGTACACATTCCTTTGCTCTGTATTTGAATATAATTTAAGTAAAGCTGCCTGGAGATGCCATTCCCAGTAACTCCTTAAAATTACGTGAGAGAAACACCAGTGTCAAAGACTCTGCAGTCACACTAGTGTCATTGCATAAAGCCGAGCTCAGACTGCAGCTTGGATCCGCTTCGTTCTCGTGCTGTAATCCTCTCTCACTTTTAAACATAAGCTATTCCTTGTTCTCTTGTAAGGATGAAGTTATAATATATGCACATATTACAACTGTGTGCATGCCCTCTGCTTGTAAATGTCTGCAGATTAAGTGGAGCCCTGAGTACTGCTGAGGGAGAGCTCTCCTGTTTTATGTTGGGAGTGGAACAGTAACCTAAGGATGCCAGCGTGTCTCCCCACTAACATCCCTGTTTTACTTGAGACCACAAAGTTTCAGCCTGACTTTGAATGCCAGACCTATGTTCTGTTTATTTCCCCCAAAAGAGCCAGAGCAGGTGTTCTATAGACTTAGGAAATATTTTTGCTCTCGGATTTCAATGACTGTCAAGTTTGAAATGAGTTGAGAATGCTTCCACAGTAACTACTGGTAACTAAACAAACTAACTTAAATTCAGGTTCATATTTCATAAGCAGTGACCATAGAACTAGAAGTACGATAAATCCTCCCCCATATTTCAGCTGTGGTTTATTTCACTGGTTTTGCTCTCTGAGGAATGTGTTAACTAATGGTTGCCCCCATAATGTTTTCAGCGCACAGACTGTTTGCAAAAAGGCAAGTATTTAATGTTTTATTTAAAATTTTAGAAAACTGTATGTAAACCAACATAGAAATAAATACTGAATAGAAAAGTACAAAGCACAATATACTGTATAATATATACATAAAGACCAAGACTGTTCAAGTATTGTGCCTCATGTAAGGTTCCTAAACCCATATTTGAATACTCAAATCGGGTGATCTTATTCTCAAGAGCTGAGCATTCATCAGTTTCTGTTGAAAATCAGGCCACTTCTGGGTGCTCAAGTATGGATTAAGGAGCCTGACTTCAGGTACCTTTTTTTTAACCTTAGCCTAAGATTAAATGAGTAAGTGTATAAATTAAAAACTTGACACTTCTGCCTGGAGCTGTCCATATACAACTCAGTTCTGTACACTTACTCCATAAATGTGAAGGATATGCATGTTCTGAATTCTTAAAGTAAACAAGTCAGGCTGAAGAAACATTGCCTCAATAGTTTCCTTCTATCTACGCTTACACTGTTTTCAGATTAGAGTTAATTTCAAACAGCTCTTGCTTGAAGCACTGAAATCCCAATTTGTTTACTGCACATTTTTACGTTGCTTCCAGAAACCAATGAACTTTTGAGCTCTTACTCAAATTTACAAGAAAGCACAGACCAGCTTAGACATGATGTTTTAAAGTGCATGGCAGCTGCTATGACTTCTGACAGAACAAGTGCTGGTTTATAATTTCAATACATGCTGATACTGGAGCTAGCTTGTACTCGTTTTCTGCAGATCTAGCATACATTGACTAATTGTATATAAGTATCTTTTTTCTGGCTCATTAGTGACACTCTACACATTTACAGTGTCTTGTATTCATAAAATCAAAACTCCAAGGGCTGTAGGAAAACTGCATTTAGGACCAGCTCTTCAGCTGCTGTAACCTAAAGGGGAGATGCTCCTTTCACACCAACTGAGGAGCTGACCCTTCTTTAGCACAAACTACTTCAAAATGAAGGGGAGAACACTTCGGGAGGATAACAAGCAGGCCCAGTGTCATCAGTTCAGAGTTCCTACATGTGAAGCAGAAAGGAAACATCCACCTCTTCACACTAAGCTTTATTTCTGCTCATGCTCTCTGCAGTAAGATAGAGGCAGTACTGTCACATGCCAGTTATAAGGCTACACTTTACCTTTGCTCCCTTCCCATGCATGAATCCCCAAACCAACTGCAAAGAGTTGAGGTTTTTTGTTCGGGGTTGGGGGGGGGGGGGGGGAGAAGAATGAGTTTGTGAAATTGAGTCAGGATTCTTAGTGAAAATAAACATGTTACTAAATCTCCTGTCAAGACTTACCCTTTGTCTCCTATTTTGGGCACTGCAGACTGAGTTGTTTCAAGGTTTATTGTGCTTCCTGGTGAGGACAGCCTGAGAGGGGCTGATGGATTTATTCTAGCACCACCTTGTGATACTTCATGATTTTAGCTCGGTGTCGGAAGCATTCTGATCCAACTGCTGAGTGATTTTTAGTCCTAACCCCCCCCAAATGGAAGAGCTGTCCCACATGGATGCTGCCACTCAATCTTCTACTAGATACCTGTGTGCGCTAACTTAACCACCTAGTGGTAAATGGAAACCAACTCCTGTAGCCACCTGGGCTGTAGGTCAGATTCAGTATTTCATTAGTTAAAATATTGTGATTTCAATTTCAGCTTCTTGGTATACAGTGCCTCTCAACTCGCAGCAAACTCTGTCCATTTTTTCAAAGGCTAGTCGTCCTTTTTCACCTACAAATAAAGACAGACAAATCAGAGTGAGGACAAGAAATCTGGGAGGAACTCTGATGAGGTGAGGATCTGTTGCAGTTTCACCATAACTCTGCACCGCCTCTTACGACCTTGTTACAACTTGGGTGTTTAGTCACTCTTGAAAATCACTGCCTGAGTGGGTTTTTTTGGATGCTCCGCTTCAGACACCTTTAAAAGTCCCCTGTTTCCAAAAATGGCTGAGCATCTACCTGCTGAAAATCAGGCCCCTTTAAGGCAGCAGTTTAGTGTCTCCAGAAAAAAGGCACCCAAAAGCACTAGTCGTTTGAAAAATCTGGCCTGAATGCAGATGAATTTGTAAAGGAACATCTTAAAATGAAACAATTCTTGTTATCTTGGGGCAATTCTCTAGTCACTGGCTACGAATCTAGATGTAGTAAGAAACGTAGCACAAGTGAAAGGAAAGCCAATATGTACTATCTATGCCAAAGGTACTTGGAGAGTCTCTTTAATTACTATATATGTGCTCCCATCCTGCCTCACTCAGACAGTAATTGCACAGGATCAGATCCCATCTTTGCCAACCTAATTTCAGTTCCTTGATGGCAGCTGGATCGCAGCTTAATTTCCCTCTCTCTGGAAAATGCAAGTTAGTTAATACACCCCTCTGATATTCTTGGCAATTACTTTCTGAGCCTGACCCCTCCCTCCCCTGCTGTCAATCGAGTTTTATACTGCTGTAACTTCATTGAATCAGTCCCTATATGTGCAATTGGCCCCTTTATTTACAACAGTGATGTCCACGTTACATATTTTAAAATCAAATCCTACCTAGATTCAATAAGATTTCACCCTAGTTACCAGTCTGGTTAGATTTTTATGTATACAGCTCCCAGAAGAGAGTACCAAATGCTAATATTTTTATTGCTAACACTAGTATTGACAGCAACGCTGGAATACCTTTAATTTTATGACTTGTTACCTGAAATCATCTTGTTGCTCACTGTCCCTTTACAATGGTTAATAGTTTGTACAGCACTCCCCCGCAAGCTGTCTTCTGGGCCTGTATATATACAAAGCCTTAGCACGTATGTTGCATTAAGATTATTGTAATGTTCTGACAGTTGTGAAACATCTCTATACCTGTTAGCTCAGCCTTAAACATATTCTTTTGCTGAAGAACACATTGGTAAAACTTTAGGCCTATTTTGTTTTCTTAATAGCTCATCTGTCACTCTCCTTTCAGCATCTTTATTTAAAGCTGCAGTAAACATTTACCAAATGACAGTGTTGTTTCCCTGGCAGCGTTCCGTACGTCCTCTGTTTCAGACTGACACAGGCAGGCAATCTGCTCAATGCTTTCTATGGCCTGTTGGGGAAAAGAAAAAACTGCAGCATTATGTGTTTAATAAGCAGTCTTGATCATTTCTCTCAAAGAGTTTTCCCACCATAACACCAAGGTACTATCTGTTACATAAAGGGCTGGTCTATACTTAGCCGCTAGTTCGGCGGCTGGAAATCGAACTTCCTGGTTCGATTTATCGCGTCTGGTCTGGACGCGATAAATCGAACCAGGAAGTGCTCGCCGTCGACTGCGGTACTCCAGCTCAACGAGAGGAGTACCGCGGAGTCGACGGGGAGTCTGCCTGCCGCGTGTGGACCGCGTCTGAACTGCGGTAAGTTCGAAGTAAGGTATGTCGACTTCAGCTACGTTATTCACGTAGCTGAAGTTGCGTACCTTACTTCGACTTGGGGGGTTAGTGTAGACCAGGCCAAATACGCAGACATGCACCAGCTGTTCAACTGCCATCTCTTCTTGTATCTCAATTCTAATATGATTGTGCTCCATTCCCTTCCCCCCCATCCTCCTGAATTGGCTATAGATTGGTTTACTTAGCATGGGCATAGGTTTGCCGCCACCTAGCCTCGGCTCAAAGGATTAAAGTTTTGAAGATATAGGACATGATTCACCAATGCATTACTCCAGTATTGTACCTGCAGTTTCAATGGAGTTATACTGGCATAAAACTGAAGTAATGCAATGGTGAACCAGGCCCAAAGAGCATTGAGTCAGCAAAGTTATCACATGGGTGCAGACACAAAGGGCCCAAGACTGCTTTCTAACAGTCATTCCTAAAAAGTCAGAGTTAGTGGCTTGGTCTATCTTATGACTGCTTTTCCTTATTAAAAAGAGTTGTGCTGACAGTAATTGCTTATGTGCAAACTAACTGGTTATAAATGTTATTGGAAGGATTTGACTCCCCTCTGTGCAGGAAAAGTTCTGCTAATTTGTGTTGGAGTCTGCTGGTAACTTAAGACAGAAAGTGGACAGATTTTTTAAAAAAACAAGAGAGCCTCTAGCATGCTGAGATTGTTGTTGAGCAGTTACTCTCAAAACAGGATTGGCTAATTTATTGAATAAATTTCTAATCTTAAAGCAAGAGCACAAACTATATTCTGAGTTTGGTTCCATTGTTAGTACCTTGCTAGAAGCTAAAATGTCTCTCCAATCAGAACCTGTTTTCCAACCCCACTGTTCTCCCTATTGACAGGGAAGCAGTAACTAAGACTGCTCATTGTGGCTACTCGCTGTACTCTAGCTGTCGTCCCAGTTCTAATAGGGTTTAGATGATTATTGCTCTCTTTCCTGGTTGCCTCAAGTAGCAGCAAAAACAGTTTGGAGCTAAAGAAAACCCCTGTTTCATGTACCCTATATAAGGTAATTTAAAGAAAAATCTGAACAATGCCCCCCAGAAAAAATTAAGATGAACCTTTGGCCATACAGCTGGACACCGCCCCACACAATAAAAATCCAGTTACTCGGTCAAACACACTTACTCTGAGGTTTTTGAGAGCCAGACATGCCGCTTGCTGTATTTTTGCATCACACTCAGCTAAAATATCCGTGTAAAAAAGCAGAGCCTAGAAAATAAGATTGAGTGATTGGTTACGCTACAAATAACTCCTCGAGTGTTCTGAATGCCAAGAGGACTGAGATCCAGCGCTGTTTTACCTATCTGAAACTGATCAAATAACATACACGAATCATTTCTGATGCTGAAAGGCAGCAGTCTCTGGGGTGGAATATGGCAGGGGGTCAATAGTGCAGGATCGAACCAATCACAGTTTTGATCCTTAACTCACCCTGCACCCACTGGGGTAGCAGATGTTGAGAGCTTTCTAGAAGCAGGGTGCAGGGTATAACTCCTTCCCCCCAAAATCCTGCTGCTCTCAGGGAGATCGGATTCCTTGAATTGTAGCATCTCACTCTGAAAACGGGTGAGAAACCATGAAGTGGCCCAATTCAGTTAATACCTTCTCCCTGAAATTCTTATTCATTGCCGCCCGAGAGAGACAGGACGTTGCCGCTTTGCTGACGTGGCGGTTGTCATCCAGCTGCAGAATCCCGAGCAGCCGTAAAGTTTGGGGTAGAGGCTGGAGCTGGCGCAGTCGCTTCCCTTTTAGTTTCTTGATTTTCTTAAGTCGCCCTGGACGCTGTAGCTCCTCAATTAGCGTCACTGCAAATGGAAGAATCACAGTTCAGCTACAAATGTGTGCAGTGTCTAGGGAGAGTTGATTCTGAGAAGTCCCTTCCAATTTTGTCTCCTGCCTCAGCCGTGTGCCCCTTATTAACATCACTACTGAGCAAGGCTGTCTCTTAGAAAATACTTTGTGAGGTACATGACTAGGCAAGAGGTGAGCTGCAAGTACCGCTAGTCTGCGCAAAACATGCTCCTTTTTCCATTCTCTTATCCTCCCTTCTTCCCTCAGTTTGTCCTTTTCATCGCCTCATAAACCTAGCTGGTAAACGCTCTGAGGCTGGGGCTATGTTTTTACAATATGGATGCACAGTGCCTAGCAAAATGGGGCCCTGGTCCTTGACTGAGGTCCATAGGTGCTAAATTAATACAAACATTCGGTGAATGCAAAACCTTTTGGAAGAGTAGTAATTTGACTATTACTAAAAAAGAGGGAAAACTGAAAAATGTTAAAACAAGCATCTGTGAAAGATAAGGCTGCACTGGTTAGGAGGAGTGTAAGTGTACCATAGAGAGAGAATAATATGCCTAGTTTTAAAAATAATGCACCACACTGTCCTTTTGAAATCCTACACGAGATAGCAGACAAACTTCCTACGCCTTTGCGTTCACGCACTGAGCAGGCATGAATGGCCCAGAGGAAATGAAACTACCCCAGTATCTGCCACGTTCAGATTTTCAAAGTACTGGGTGGACTGGGTTTCAGCATGACAGTAGCGCTCTCAGCAAACGCATATTAGTTACTCCTGGAATCTTAAGGCCACTGATCTGTCTCTCATCACTGTCATGACCATGCGATACCGTAAACCATCTACTCTGCTGTGGAACACAGCAGCTTACTGTGCGGCCAGTTTGGCCTCTCCTTATATTGCAGACTTTGAGACCTAAGCCAGACACTTGAGCTAAATATTTGCATCAAATCTGTTCCTTTCCTGTCTAGCTATGAAGCCTGATTTTGCCTTTCCTGCTCTAATTAAAACTGCATGGGCATAGTGAGGAGAAAGGATGAAAACAGAGTTGAATTGTATTATGGTAGGGTTGTATCCTTACTCTTTAAAAAAATATCCCTTTGGGATTGGGACAGATACAGCCCCATAAGCCATTCCAGCAGCCAACTAGCTAGCCTGAGGGTTATTTGCCTGAGTGCAGTGCCTGGCAGCCTGCCATTACCTTCTTTGAGGAGTTCTGCCAAGTGCTTCTCCAGGTTGGTAACACGCTCTTTCTCCAGGTAGCTGTGAAACTGGAATAAGGTGAGCAGTTCTTCAGGGGGACTCCCAGAGGGGAGCAACCCACTGCATGTGACGATCTGCTCCAGCAGCCTTCGCAGCACTGAACAGACATGCAGAGAAGAGCAAACAAAGAAGGCCCGCTGAGGGGCAGGACACTTTGCACTCATGCATTTCATTTACAGTTTTAACAAGAAGAAGTTGAAGGCTGGAATTTTCAGAGGAACATAAGGAAGTAGGGGCCTAAATCTCACACAAATTCAGTAGGAGGCAGGCCCCCACTCTGCTGATAATTCCAGCCAAAGTACAAAACAGACCTCATCCAACACCCACTGAAGCCAAGAGGAGTTACTGTATTGTCTTAACAGACTTTGAATCAGGTCTATAGTCGGTAACAAAGACAATTAAGGCAGCCTGGTCTAAGAAGATTAATGCAGGGACTCAGGAACTGCCAACCTTTAATTCTAACTCTGACATCAACTAGCTGTGTGACTCTGAAAGAGCCACTAAACCTTTCTGGGCCTCAGTTTCCCCATCTGTACAGCAGGGTATAATGATTTTACCATATAAAACAAAGCAGTGCTCTATGCACATGTTTAGAAGCCCTTTGGAAACAATAGGATTGCGTAAGGGAAATTGCATTGTTTAGAAAGATCATCCTTTGGGAATTCCTGGCCATATTGTGCATTCAGTGTTGGGATTGAAATCGAAATGAAAGGGGTCATCCAAAATGTAAGTCCTAATGTCAGATGTTGTTTGTGTCTGTCTTTTAGTCAACTTTTATCAATTTTGTTTTCTCTCTTCTAAAATGGGGGCACTGTGCATGTGGGTGTGCGCGTGAGCACACCCCTTTGCAGCAGAGTCTGTACTGAGCTTTACTTTCGGTGTTTACACATCACTACAAGGCTATTGAGTGACATACAGATACATACGCACAATACATACATATTTAAATGATAAACTCTTTGGGATATGGATGATGGCCCAGATTCTGGGAGTTAGGCACCTAAATACCTTTGAAGATCTAGGCCTATGTCTGCCTCATGTTTGTACAGCACCTAGCAAAACAGCTCTCATCCCAACAGGGGCCTCTGGGCACCACTGCCACTACAAGAAATAATAGGAACTCCATGTTGACTTTCTGAGATGTGTGTACACAGAAGATAGAACACAGCACAGCATTCATAATTATCTTAGCAATTAAATGCCTGCAATTTTGTATTGTAAACGCTTTGGTATATCAAATAGAAGGGAGGGATTTTCAAGAGTGCCCAAGCGAGTCAGGTTTCTAACTCCCATTGACTCCTAACCCCCTTAGGTGATTTGGTAAATCCCACCCAAAATTATTACAAAACATAACGCTAACAGTCCACAATGTCATGGGAGAGAAGTAATGCCTCATCAAGCCGCGTGTGGAGTGCGCCATGGTCATTTTATAGTATAAGTAATAAATCAAGGGGATGGAGCCTGAATTTTAAATACAGTTTACCAAGAACAAGTTCTATGTCATTTTAAAAAAAACTACAGGGACAACCTTAAACTCAGTGTACAAATAAAATCAGGTGCCTTATCTTCTAGTAATTGACTGGTACCTGCTTCTAGATGTCCTGGATATTTCTCCTTCACTTTGAACATTAATATGTATTTCAGAGGATTCTGGAATTTTTCTGCTGAACAGAACAAGATATTTCCTGGCTCTGTGAATTCACTCCAGATTTTCAGACACTGCTTCTGCTTTTTCGCCTTATGAATAACTGTAGAATAAAGTTTTACGAAGTCAGCAAGTGAGCTGGAGTGCATTTTAAATGAGACATGAGACACCAGATGGGATGTCTAACAAATGTATGAATGTCATTTTTATTTACATTCCATAGATGGATTTCTTTACAACTGAATTGTATTGCCAATTTATTAAAGACTCATTGAGGACCTGAGCCAAAGCCCACTAAAGCCAATGGGAGTCTTTCAATAAACTTCAAGAGGCTTTGGATTGGGCTCTACACTGTCATACCAGTGTGTAAGTGAGATGTCTACCATGCTCCTAGCTCCTGCCTTTGCAGGGACATGAACTGTGCTCTACTAGGGATTCCCCTCTCTAGCATCCTAAATTATATCTCATTGGACCACGATCAACCTATTTGGACTGCAGACAGCCTACCAGGGTCATGTGTTAGGTGGTAGGCTGAACAAAGACCTACAATCATAAGATCACCAGGCCTTGCTCCATGTTCTAGAGGGCAAGTAAAAAAGCCCCTGCTCCTCTTCCCTGGGGGCTAATTCCTTCTCAAATCCAAATGTGGAGCCTAATCCTACAGTCCTTGCTTAGCCAAATTCCCCTGGGTTTCTATCGGAGTTTTTCTGAGTCAGGCCTGCGGATCATCACAATAAAAACCTGCATAGTTCAGAATCTAAATAATCTCATTTGTGTTGCTATTTCGCTCCCTCCCTTTTCCTAGGGAGGGATAATGTTGGTGTCCAAGGGCCAGATTTTTAAAGGCATTTAGGCACCTAAAAATACAAATATGCACCTACTGGGGTTTTCAAAACACCACAGTATTGAAAGCAATGGGAGTGAGGAAACACCCTGTTTTGAAAATCCTACTGGACATGTATCTGCATGTTTAGGTGCCTAAACTGGCCCCAAATAATTACCCATTTTCCTTGAAGCCAAAGATTAGGATTTTCAAAAGTGCTCACTGTTGGCTTAACGCTGCTCCCCCTGGATTCAGGGGGAGTTTTGTCATCTATTTCAAGGGGAGTTGAGTTAAGCCAGTGTTGAGCACTTTTGAAAATCCTTCGAATGCAAAATTCAAAACACTTATGGCCCCCTGCGTAGGGGGTGGGGAAAGCCCCTTTACATGAAATACACAAGCTCTGTGGTTTACTTGGTTCATACAGGGTCAAGTTAATTATTGCCTGGGGCAGAAATTCTAAAAACCCTTTCCTTTCTAACCAAGAAAGATCTGAGCCCCAGCTGTTAGGGTTTATAACCTACCCATAAAAGCTGCTTTGACTGGGAATTTATTTTAAAGCCTTCAGAATCAATCCCTGATTTGCCATACGAGGTGAGAGCCATGTTACCTGAGCCTCTCTGGTCTCCTACATATGCCTTGGCATCACACCCACATTACTCACCCTCTTCAACAGAGGTGAAGCTCCCAACTTCCAGAACACAGAGCTCTGAGGCAGTTTCCAGCACTTGTTTCTGCCGTGACACTTCTTCCAAAAGGCTCTCCTGGACAATTCGGGCTATGTTTGGCGAAACCAGTTTCTGAAACAAAGTGTACTTTTCCTCAGTGACTGAGACGAAAGCATTGAGCAAACTCAAGAAGTGCTGAACCCCCTGACTTTCAGAGCTCAACTCTCCAACAGCCAGTGGGGAAGACAACTGCCGCTCACAGAAATCCACTTTTCGCATTGTGTCTTGGATGGGCAGAGGATGCGATGGAAATAGGAGACAGACTTGTTGAAAATCTCTGGGTAAGGATAAAAGGTGTACAAAACAAGAGTGATGTCATAGTAGGATCTACTACAGACCATCTAACCAGGAAGAAGAGGTGCATGAGGCTTTTTTAAAACAACTAACAAAATCGTCCAAAGCACAGGATTTGGTGGTGATGGGGGACTTCAACTACCCAGACATCTGTTGGGAAAATAACACAACAGGGCACAGATTATCCAGCAAGTTCTTGGAATGTACTGGAGACAATTCTTTTATTTCAGAAGGTGGAGAAAGCTACTAGGGGAGAGGCTGTTCTAGATTTGATTCTGGTTGAGAATTTGAAAGTGGAAGGCAGTGTAGGTGAAAGTGATCATGAAATGGTAGAGTTCATGATTCTAAGGAATGGTAGGAGGGAAAACAGCACAATAAAGGTAATGGATTTCAAGAAGGCAGACTTTAGCAAACTCAGGGAGTTGGTAGGTAAGATCCCATGGGAAAAACAGTTCAAGAGAGTTGACAGTTTTTCAAAGAGACATTATTAAGGGCACAAAAGGGAACTATTCCACTGCATAGGAAAAGATAGGAAGTATGGCAAGAGACCACCCTGGCTTAACCAGGAGACCTATAATGATCTGAAACTCAAAAAAAAGAGTCCTACCAAAAGTGGAAACTAGGTCAAATTAAAAAGGATGAATATAAACAAATAACACAAATATGTAGAGACCAAATTAGAAAGGCCAAGGCACAAAACAAGATTAAACTAGCTAGAGACATAGAGGGTAACAAGAAAACATCCTACAAATACATTAGAAGCAAGAGGAAGACCATGGGGGAAGGGGGAACAATAACAGAAAATGTGGAAATGGCAGAAGTGCTAAATGATCTTTTTGTTTCAGTTTTCATCAAAAAGGTTAGTAGCAATTGAACATCTAACAGTGAATGCTGAGGTAGGATGAGAGGCTAAAATAGGGAAAAAACAAGCTAAAAATTACTTAGACAAGTTAGATGTCTTCAAGTCACCAGGACCTGATGCAATGCCTCTTAGAATACTCAAGGAGCTGACTGAGGAGATATCTGAACCATTAGCAATTATCTTCAAAAAGTCATGGAAAACGGGAGAAATTCCAGAGGGCTGGAAAAAGGCAAATATAGTGCCAATCTATAAAAAGGGAAATAAGGACAACCCAGGGAATTGCAGACTAGTTAGCTTTACTTCAGTTCCTGGAAAGATAATGGAGCAAATAATTAGCGAACACCTAGAAGATAGTAAGATGATAAGTAACAGTCAGCATGGATTTGTCAAGAAGAAGTTGTGACAAACCAACCTAATAGCTTTCTTTGACAGGATAACAAGCCTCGTGGATGGGGGGAAAGCGGTAGATGTGGTATATCTTGACTTTAGTAAGGCTTTTGAAACTGTCTCTCATGACCTCCTCATAAACAAACTAGGGAAATATAACCTAGATGGAGCTACTATAAGATGGATGCATAACTGGTTGGAAAACCGTTCCCAGAGAGTAATCATCAGTAGATCACAGTCAAGCTGGAAGGGCATATTAAGTGGGGTCTCGCAGGAATCAGTTCTGGGTCTGTTCAAAACCTTCATCAATGATTTACAGAATGGCTTAGAAAGTACACTTATAAAGTTTGCGGACGATACCAAGCTGGGAGGGGTTGCAAGTCCTTTGGAGGATAGATTAAAATTCAAAATGATCTGGATAAACTAGAGAAATTGTCTGTAGTAAATAGGATGAAATTCAATAAGGACAAATGCAAAGCACTCCACTTAGGAAGGCACAATCAATTTCACACATACAAAATGGGAAATGGCTGCCTAGGAAGGAGTACTGTGAAAAGGGATTTACGGGGTCATAGTGGATCACGAGCTAAATGAGAGTCAACAGTGTAACACCATTGAAAAAAACTAACATCATTCTGGGATGTATTAGCAGGAGTGTTGTAAGCAAGACACGAGAAGCAATTCTTCCGCTCTACTCCATGCTGATTAGGCCTCAACTGGAGTATTGTGTCCAGTTCTGGGCAACACATTTCAGGAAAGATGTGGACAAATTGGAGAAAGTCCAGAGAGGAACAAAAAAAATGATTAAAGATCTAGACAACATGATCTATGAGGGAAGATTGAAAAAACTGGGTTTGTTTAGTCTGGAAAAGAGAAGACTGAGAGGGGACATTTTTACATACTTGAAAAATGTTATCGATTGTTACAAGGAAGAGGGAGAAAATTTTTTCTCCTTAACCTCTGCAGATAGGACAAGAAGCAATGGGCTTAAATTGCAGCAAGGGTGGGTTAGGTTTAGGGTGACCATGCATCCTGTCCTGGGCGTCCCGACTTTTTTGGCAAAACTGGGCATTTGTCTGGTTTGCCAAAAAAGCGGGATGTGACCACTAGCAGGGGTGAACATGCTGGGGGGCAAGCGGCAATGCCAGTCCCATGCGGGAGGGAGGGTTCAGGAGAGCAGCTCAGGCCGGGCCAGTCCCACGTGGGTGGGTGGCAGGGGGGCTTGGGCCGCCCCATGCATGAGGGGAGAGGAGGGCCTCGGGCCGGCCCCAGGGGGTGTCCCATTTTTCCTTTGGGAAAATATGGTCACCCTAGTTAGGCTGGACATTAGGAAAAACTACTTAACTGTCAGGGTGGTTAAGCACTGGAATAAATTGCCTAGGGAGGTTGTGGAATCTCCATCATTGGAGATTTTTAAGAGCAGGTTAGACAAACACCTGTCAGGGATGGTCTAGATAATACTTAGTCCTGCCATGAGTGCAGGGGACTGGACTAGATGACCTCTCAAGGGTCCCTTCCAGTCCTACGAGTCTATGATTACATTTTGCATCTCTCCCTGAACGGGAAAGTCTTCTCTTCCCGTCTGAAACAGTTATCAACATTACACGGTTCAATAGATGCCCGAGGTTGATGTACTGTACTGATGCGTGGAGTAATCCTTGTACAATGCCTTTTGTGCTTCAGGGCCTGATCCTAGCTGATGCTGAGCACCCACTACTCCTAGTGAAATGAATAGGGATTGTGGCTGTTCAGCACCGATGAGTCCCAGGGGTGTTCTAGAGCAGAGGTTCTCAGCCTTTTTCTTTCTGAGGCCCCCCCAAACATGCTATAAAAACTCCACGGCCCAGCTGTGCCACAACTGGTTTTCTGCATATAAAAGCCAGAGTCAGTGTTAAGGGGTAGCAAGCAGGGCAATTGCCTGGGGCCCCATGCCACAGGGGCCCTCACGAAGCTACATTGCTCAGGCTTCAACTTCAGCCCCGGGTGGGGCTTCAGCTTTCTGCCCTGGGCCCCAGCGAGTCTAATGCTGGCCCTGCTTGGAGGCCCCCCTGAAACCTGCTTGAGGCCCCCTAGGGGGCCCTGGACCCCTGGTTGAGAACAACTGTTCTAGAGAAATCATCATAACTTACCCTGGATAGTGGCTATTTTACTCCAGTGATACCAAATTTTCTCTCTGAAAAATTGGTCATTTGCCAATCAATATGCAGTTCAATCCAAACCGGTCCTACTTCATTCATAGCCAGCTCATCATGCATAAGTCCTCTGAGTGCAGAGCTACTAATTCCTACCCCAGCAAAAAAGGTCCGGTTTTGCAGAAGAAGTGCATGCCCACCTGATTTCCCTTTGCACAGGTCTGTGCATTGCAGTTTGAAACTCTGGCTCAAGTGATCTGCATTTCCATTCTCAGTCATTCCATTTTATAACATAACCTCATAAATCACCAGCTCTGTCTTTGCTTGGTGGTTATAAATGATGGCCCAGATCCTCAGCTAATAGCCACGGAGTGCACAGTTCAACTGAGGAATGGGGGAAAAGATGGGTGTTGCACTCCCTGATCCTCCACCAACTGAGTGCGGGGCTGGTTTCCAGCATAAATCAGGGTAGCCTGAAGGCTGCCCTAAACTATTCCAGCTGCCCTTGGATGTGACAGGCAAATAGAGCAGCAAGTGCTGGGGCAGAAGTATGTCCCAGCCATTCTAGCTTTCCCTCCAACCATGTCCCCTTCACCATCAGCCAGAGAAGAAGGGTCTGGCATAGAAACTGTTACTCCCACACTATGCCACCAGAGAATCCTGTGCTAGGGGGATTCTCATATGGCTGGCTATGCCAGCGTTGTGCCCGTTGTACAAGGCAAAGTGCCTGCACAGCATCCCAGGATCGGGGCCAGTATCAATCCACTGCAAATGGGTTCATCCATACGTCATTCCTTACCTGCAAGAGAGCTTTGCACAACTGCAGATGAACGATCAGAAGTTTGTCTAAATCATCATTCCCTGTGGTTAACTCTTTCGTTGCTGTTTTCCTGTCATAGCCCAGTATGTTGTCATTGTAAGTGCTGTTAGAGAAGTTAAGAAAGGGGAACAAGTAGTTAATGTTAACCAGCCATTGTGTGCGGTAAAGCAGAAGGATCTAAAACACCAAGAAAACAATAAAAGTTGTTTAAAAACCCACAAGGCACCTCCTTAACCCCTATATCTATATCTTCAACAAATGAATGTGAAAGTTTCTCTTCCTGTCTTCTCAATAATAATCCCCAAACTCATCAAAGTGGTCACCACTTTTGACAAATAACTGATGCTCTATAAGAGCAGTAAGCCTGTTAACAATCTGCTCTCTTGATAGTGTGTAAACTTCTTACAAAGGTGAAGATGGGGATTAAATCTCTAATTCTCATGTCAGGAAGGCAACAGTATGTCAGCTAATCCTGTGACCTCATTTTTGTGAGGACCACCATCCAAACATGACACTGCCATCAATAATGTGTATTGACTGGCTGGCCCGTTTGGAACGACGTATTGCAAAAGCAAAATAAAAACACCTTGTTCTCTAGCAACTCCAACTCAAGGATGCTCTAGTCTGGTCTATCTGGGGTTACTCAGCACCTCTAAGGATCAGGCCCACAACCCCAAAGGGTAAGAGTCTTATGAGCAAGGGTCACAAATATGAAACAGAACCCAGTAGAAGAGACCTGTGAGCTGCTCCTGGCCTATTCCCTTGCAAAACTGTTCCCCATCATACCCATACATCTGTTTTCTGAAGGCTAGTTTTAAATATCCCAACTATCCCATTCTGCAGCCTAGTAGGAGAAAGGCTTTTCAAGATATTCAGCCTAAATATTCCCAAATTTCAATCCATTTATTGCGCTGATTGAGCTGTAAGTTTCATAGTATCCTAAACAATTCCTCTCTCTCCTGGGTGTCCACACCCTGGGCACCAACCTCCCCACACTACACAGTCATTGCCTAACTGAGTTCAGTGTATTTACCTCCTAATCTTCCTCTTGTCAATCCCTTCAGCCCCTCAATGGGATGCACTGGTCTGCTCACCTGGTACTGTCTGTCCTTATGCTTCCAAATAAGGAAAGCTCATCAGCACTGCAGTCCGTGTTTAAAAAGTCAAAACTTTCCAGCACCATCTCCACCATCAGACTCTCCATGGAGGAATGTTTCTGATGAGACGTCTTCAGCTGTTGATAGATAGGAAATAAACTAATGTTCTTTTACTTATTATTATGTGCCATGCAGATTCCAGGGCAGCTGAAGAGGCTGTCTCTGCCATTCAGCTTCCCGGGTTCCTCAGTAATCTTCCTGGACTCCAGAGATGGACAGCTGGGGGAGGTGCACTGCCTTTACCATTCTCCGGCACAGCCCAAGCCGGCCTGGGGCTGCTTGGGCTGCTGGAGCTGGCACGGCTGGGACAGCTCAGGCTGGACTGGAGCTCGGGGCTGCTCGGGCTGGTCCACGGCTCGGGTAGGGCGGCCGGCATGGCTGGGGCAGCCGCCGGAGGTGGGAGCGGGGGGGCCTCAGGGCTCTGCTAAGGGGAGACAGGAAGGGGCCTCATGCAGAAGGGGTGGGGCCAGAGGCTAGCCTTCCCTAAGGGAGTGTCCACCAGCAGCCCATGCTTAAACAGAAACTGAGTTTTAATCTGATTAAGTGTCATCTTTCTGAGGGTGCATAAGACCTTAAACATTAGCTCTGATGGACTGACCCATTCATCAAGGGGGTGTGCGCTCTGAAACCTACAGATGACAACATACATGCCCACATTGTCAACAATTTCACTGCTGATTATTTTAGCAGGAAAAAAAACCCATGAAATGTGCTTCCTCTAATCCCAGACTGCATCATCAGATGTAGAATTTAGTATAAAAATAAAACACTGTGGCTAATATCCTGATTGCCTTATTCATCTTGGATTTTTTTCCCCATTAAAACCTCCATCTAAATGAAATTACTGTGGAATCCCATAGCAGTGTCCCACAATGCAGGGACCTTACTCCAGTTTGGCTCAGAGAACACAGGGCCTTGATTATACTCTGCTTTCTAATGTCTCCTTCCCTCTGTTATTCACCTCTGCAAAGCATGTTGGGATAGAGTGCATGAGAGATGTTATACAGACTGAAATGTTGTTGCCCTTAGCTAGCTCTCTTGACTTCCAGCCATTTCTGAGAAATGCCTGAGTTCTGATGGTCAAACCAATATTTTGGGAATGTGCCACCGAAAATTTTGAAGCCATCGATACTCCATCATGTGGAGCCCTTTAGAATAGTAAGAGGAAAAATGATGAACAGCAAAAACTACAGCATATTGCACAAAGGTGAAAATAATACCACACCTTTAATTTGTCCCTGATGCATAAAACTTGGTACTCCAATTCCTCCAATTGGGTTTGCCCTGGATTCTGTGACTTCAGCAAATTTAACACTTCCTGAAGGAGTTTCTCAACTGCTTTGGCGCTTCCGGCTGGTTTTCTGTCATCTTCAGTGTTCAAGCTTTGCCGATCAACAGACAGGACATTTTCTTGTTCCACAGGCTGGTGACTCCAGTGCTGGCCGATGGAATCTCTGCCATCTTTGCTAATGTCCCATGGGCTGGATGGGCTATTTGGAGCTCCATCCATGGAGGGTGTCTCTTTAAGGATATCTAGAGTTGTGTGGTTTGGAGACTTGTGTTGTCTTCCTTCTGCACAGGTGTCCTGTACAAGAACCAATGGCAGGGTCCTGTGGTCTGAAGCTGGAGTCACATTTCTAGTTTCTGTTCCTTTCCGATCCTGGGAGCTGAATGAGTCAGTCTCTGCAGAGCTGTGGTTGTCATTCCTTAGATGCACATCGAAGTCACAGTCAGCCAAGTAGCTCAGTATGCAGGGGGCTCGCGCCTCATCGTTTATGCCACCTTGGTTCATTCGTTGCTGCAAAACAGACTGCAGCAAACAGGTTCAAGTGTAAGTACAAGTACTTGATACAGATGAGATTTATCCAGAGATGGAGAGCCCAGGAAAGACCCTCAGCCCCACATTGCCCCTCTGGAGAGATTCGGGATGACAGACACAGCTATAATGGCCAAACAGAGAAAACCTCTCAGCCCCATGCAGACCAGAGCAGGAGGACCTGTCGGGGGAAGCCATGCGTGGGCCCAATATTTACATTGATCCAGTAGCCCAAGAGCCTCAGGGAAGAGCTGAAGACAGGCAGAGAATACTCCACATTTAAAGAACTTTAAACTGAATGGTAAAAAAAACAGTCTAAGATGCCACTGCCTGTCACATTTTTCATTCCAAAGGGACCCTAACAAATCGGTTCTAACCCCCCTTCAGCCCAATGCAATATGATATTAAATTGGCTGGAAAACGTTTTCATGATTAGTTATTAATAAATACAGCACACGCATTACATAACTAGACAGCCCCATAACGCCGCTGTTTGCAGAAGACCTATCTACAAGCAATGTTTTGTACTCCCTCTGCTGGCTTGGCAGGAGCACACAAACCTGACTGCCAGGCTGATACGGGAACCTGTCTTGAGGTTAGGGGCGTATACGCACACATGCCTCTGCTACCTATTGCCTGTGCTATGAAGAGGCAGGAGCACACGGAACGAAGCAGCAACATTAAGGGAAAACCCCATTAGAAACACAGGAGATTGTCTGGTCCAACTAAACTGCACTTGGCACTAGACAGGGGATGGGAGGAGAGAAGGGGATGCTTTACACTCCACCTTTAAGCCACCACTATGGTTCACTGCTCCTGGGATTGGCCAGTTCCCAGTGTAGACTGCTCTAATTTATGCCTGGCTGCACATGGGGAATATTTGGCAGGGAAAAAATTTTTGCATTTCAAGATTCTAAAATGGGATTGAAAACAACAGGGGTTAAATTAAAAAAATAAAACACCCAATAATGATCACCATACTGCCCTGTGACTGTGGTCTGTCCAATTCTATTCGGCAACAATCTGATGTCCCAGCCCCAGCTCACTGTTTGGGCCCAGTGTTTTACTTCCCCCATCATACTTACGAGATAATATTTCTCTCTGAAGCTAGGAGTGTTTGGCGGAGTCCAGTTGTATAAGGAGCTTTTCCTACTACCCAGAGAAAACTTGGCAGAAGTTCCAGGCGACAAAAACAGGTTCTCTGTGTCAAATGGGCTATGAGCAGGGAATACAAAGGTGTAAGTGTTATCAAAGGCCAGAAAGCATTTAGATGTTTAGCAACAGGAACAGCTACTGGGATTTGAGCCCCATAGCATCATTCTGGTCCCTGAAGTTTATTAAATAATACTCAGCTCTGGGATAAAAGAAGAGGGAGACGGGCAGCCCCTCTGACTTATTCCCTTGACACCTGAGCTGCAAGAGGGAGATAGTGGGGCATCATCCTTTTGCATGGAGAGAAGTATTGAATAACCTCATCCTTCAGGCATGGAGATCACAGCAGAGCCTAATCAATGCAGCGCACTCTGAGCTGGCTACTCTCCCAGAATCAGATCAGAGTCCGATGAAAGCTCCCTCTCTTTCTGTGGGGTCTTATATCCCACACAGTAGTTCCCCAGCTATGGCCCATGAACAGCAGGGTGCTTGCAGGTGGCCAGCAGAATGGTATATTGGCCGCCTGGTGCTCCAGAAATGCATGGGGGAGATTAAATGAAGAATAAAAGGAATGTGTAACTAACTTTTTCCACAAAGGACAAAACACTATCACTTGAAAAGCCAGTAAAAAGGTATGAAATACAGTCTTGATCCTACATACACTTATACACAATTGATGTAGTTGCCACAGGGATGTTATGTCATTGTGCACAGCAGGAGATGCGGTTCATGCAATTGTGGCTGGGAAGGGAGCTTCCACACTCTATCCCTGTAAGATGCTGTCCGTGCTGCAAAGAGCCCAACAACCCTTATTCGAAGCACTTGCCGATTGTCCTCAACGCTCCAGAGAAGGTCATTACTCTTCCCATTTCCAACAGATGCATGTGCTGGGACCTCTTTCCTCAGAGAAGCACACTAAGGTAAAGCTGGGTGAACCTTCACCCACAATGCACTCCAACACAGAGAAAGAGAGGAAAATTCATGGACTCCCCCCCTCCTTGATAGTGCTAGGGCATTTTTAATTAAATTAGTTCCCCTCTCATATGTGCTTTTGTGCATGAGGGGAACATATCATTCATATTATCTCTGATCCCACAGACCATATTTTAAATGAAGGCCAACCACAATGCTAAGGTGTCTGCACTCAACTGGAGCCCCTGGGAGTTCTGAAACGATCCAAACAATAGTGGGCACAAATTAGTTACATGGAGACTTTTGCCCTCAATTCAAAGCCAAGTTCTATTTCCCTTTTATTGCAGGGGTGGAAGGCTGAATATAAACATTTCAGGCACAGACAGCAGTGTCCCTCATTGGAACATGCTGTTGTCATCCCACCATGGAAGTATCACTCTCAGATGTTAGCCTAATGCATGTCAATTAGCTAAATTAACCAGTGTCACACAGCTGGAGTTTGTCAAACAGGCCAGTTCCATGGAGTCAGATTAGCAGCCATCTGTGCTTTCTCACTTTGCAGCAAATTAACTAAATCGGGTACCTGACAGCAAGAGCACTTTATCTAGAGAACGTCATGGACTTACTGACAGAGGCAAATTGCTTTCATCTACAGCATTTTGTTCTTAGAAGGAGGATGGCTGGGCCTGGGGAATCCTTTTGTTTAAGATTTTCAGTTTTAGTTTTTAATACAGCAACAAAGCAGTAATAATAAAGAATACAGAGTAAAGATATAATAATATCAAGCTAAGGCCATTCTCCTCCTGTGATGATTGATATAATCCTATAGTAAAGAAAAAAAGATTAAGGGTATGTTTACACTGCACATTAAGACCCGGCTGTGATTCCGGTTTGAGCCCAGCCCCCCTTCGTCCACACACAAATCAGTCTGACTCAGGTTAGCAAGCACTCAGGACTTGGGTTCTAGGACTCTGCTAGGAGGTTAGGTCAGAGCCCAAGTCCTGCTGTGACTTGGGTCCAAGGCTGTCATACTGCAGCGTGGACACAGGTCAAGCTACAGACCTGAGTCAGAGGGTCTGCATAGCACAGCAGGGACACATTAGCACGACTGAGAGACCCAGGTCCAGTAAGTGTAAACCCAGCTTTACAATGCACTGTGGATTCTCAAGCACAGGCTTGGAAACACCAAGTCCATAAGGCTGGGTCGTACAGGCCCAGGTTTAATGTGCAGTGTAGACATATGCCCTTATGGAGTACATCTCAGGGTATCAGCCAGAAAACACAGTGAAGTACAGGGGTGAACTGATGACATGGCTCTTGTGAGCGAGTGAGAGACAGACCGAGACCATGATGCTGCATGGGAGAGAATGAGAGCTGCTCAACTATGGACCAGATCCTATATTGCAAACAAGTCAGATTTTTTTCTTTAGCTCAAGTGGTAGGAGCCTGAGCTTTTAGAGCAGCAGGATCTGGGTTTTAGCCCTGCTGTTCCCATGTAGTACTGAGGCGCACAGAAACAGCCACAGCACTAAACTGTACGCGTACCATTTGCAGGGGAAGCAGTGCTACATTTACATCTACTTGCCAAGGTCCAGAGTTGTCTGGGTGGCTTTGATCCCTGGTTCAGTCCGATTCGCTCTTTCCCAGCCATTTGCCATTAGGAACGTACCAAAAGGCAGGTATTGTCAAACCAAAGGTTTTTGTCAGGGTTGTATTCCTCCCACACTCCCCCCACGTTCACTCCATTCAAACAATGAGGCAGCCTAGGGGGGTGCACTCCAACAAAAACTTACAGCCATTATGGGAATCATCATGGGCCAGATGGTCCCATGATACCACAGTGAGGGGTGCAGCCTTGAGGGAGAATGTAGCCTCCCTTTGTGATTCTCTTTGCTGTTTGGGTTGGCCTGGTGACCAGGTCCCGTTCCCAAGCCAGCACAGCATCTATGTCCTCTCCACTCCAATCATAGAATATCAGGGTTGGAAGGGACCTCAGGAGGTCATCTAGTCCAACCCCCTGCTCAAATGAGGACCAATCCCCAACTAAAACATCCCAGCCAGGGCTTTGTCAAGCCTGACCTTAAAAACCTCTAAGGAAGGAGATTCCACCACCTCCCTAGGTAACCCATTCCAGTGCTTCACCAGTTTCACCCAAGCTTCCCTCCCTCCTCCCCTAAGCAAAGCTCTTACGGGAGGGCTATGCCACAGCTGGAGGTGTGAGCACAGCGCAGGTAGGCGTACCTGCACTAACTTTAATCTAGCTCGCATGGCTAAAAGTAGCAGTGAAGAGAAGGTGGTTCAAATCCTAGCCGGGGCTAACAATATGAGTTCAGCATCAACCCAGAGTTCCGGGTGGGCTAGTACAGCCTATCATGAAGCTCTTGATGATGCAGCTTCACTGCCATGTTTAGCCATGTTAACTTGATTAAAACTAGCATAGGTATCAAGTATCAGAGGGGGTAGCCGTGTTAGTCTGGATCTGTAAAAAGCGACAAAGAGTCCTGGGGCACCTTATAGACTAACAGAAGTATTGGAGCATAAGCTTTCGTGGGTGAATACCCACTTCGTCAGACGCATGTGGTAGAAATTTCCAGAGGCAGGTATAAATATGCAGGCAAGAATCAGTCTAGAGATAACAAGGTTAGTTCAATCAGGGAGGATGAGACCCTCTTCTAGCAGTTGAGGTGTGAACACCAAGAGAGGAGAAATTGCTTTTGTAGTTGGCTAGCCATTCACAGTCTTTGTTTAATCCTGATCTGATGGTGTCAAATTTGCAAATGAACTGAAGTTCAGCAGTTTCTCTTTGGAGTCTGGTCCTGAAGTTTTTTTGCTGCAGGATGGGCTACCTTTAAATCTGCTATTGAGTGTCCAGGAAGGTTGAAGTGTTCTCCTACAGGTTTTTGTATATTGATATACAAATATACAAATATGCAGTGTAGAAATACCCCAACCAACTGAAGTCTGCAAAAGAGGCAGTAGAAGGTTTATCAGAGCTATCTAGGCTAAGAGAGCATGCACAGCTTAAAACCAAAAAAAGCAAGTTGCAGTTAGAGCTCTCACTCCACAGCTACTGGGGTGGGAGCTGGCCCAGGAGGGAAGTTTGGGTGTCACAACTGGACTTGATTAGTCAGTCATCATTTTAGGGGGGGAAAGCTGCTATTGCTCTGAAAAGAGCTGTTATTTTGAGTGGTTTTGTTTTTTAAAATGGAAACACCCTTATCTTATCACTGTGCAAATATTCCTCTGTAGGAACAGCTTCAGCAGATAAGCTGTCAGAGAACAGGAGCTGGCCAGTTCCATGTGCAAGTGCTCTGGAGAAGCTGCTTGGTGGGATACCAAGGTATTGTGCAAACCTTACACATTAGAGAAATATGGCAGAAATGCTCTGGTAAGCATCAAGAGTCCTCGGGGGGGGGGGGGGGATTAGCTCACAGGGGATGTATGTCACCATTAACGTTGTTCCCAGCTGGGCAGTCGCCAAGTTGAAAATCTCTTGTTTCTTGGAGGCAAAAAAGTGTTACAGCTGGACCAATGCTGCCAAGTATTACCAGCCCTGGTGCACGTACAGTGGTACAGTCCGGTATGCCATACCTGTATGCCATACCCAGTATGAGCCTGGCCCCAGTCCCTCCCTTCCACACAGCTGCATCTCCTGAGTCCTCCTGCCTGCGGTCTGTACAGCAGCCATGTCTGAGGACAGAGCTGGGGGTAGTACAGCAGCCACGTGGGAGGAGCTGCCGGCGTGGGGCTGCCCGGCGGCCACATTTTCTTATGCTCCTTTTGCTGCTGTGGTTCCAGAGAGCCTAGATCTCTCGGGAACTGCAGCGGCGAGAGGAGCAGAACGGGGGGCAGCGAGGTGGCCCCACACCGACAGCTCCTCCAGCACAGCTGTACCGCCCCCAGCCCTTCCACACAGCTGCATCTCCTGAGTCCTCCTGCCTGGGGTCTGAACAGCAGAAGTCTCCGGCGCAGGAGGGGGAGGATAGAGCTTCCTCCCCCCCACCCCCAGCTAATGTGGGATGGATGTGGATCAAGGGGAGGGGGCAGGGAAAAGTCATGTAGGGAGGTCATGTGCCTCGCCTTCGTATCCCTCCCATGAGTGCAGCGTAGGGTGACCAGATGTCCCGATTTTATAGGGACAGTCCCGATTTTTGGGTCCTTTTCTTATATAGGCTCCTATTACCCCCCCACCCCCGTCCTGATTTTTCACACTTGCTGTCTGGTCACCGTAGTGCAGCGTGCCAGCAAGAAATGATTTCTGCTTGCACCACTGATTACCAGGGAATCATTTGAGTTTTTGAAATCAAGTCACTTCACTTGTGTTCATGTCTCCTATATGTTGGTTTATTTGATCCTCAAAGGCTCCATACAGTCTGAAGTAAGTAGAGAGAGACTGAAAGTCTTGGGCCAGGTCTATGCTACCAACTTCTGCCAGCATAGCTACATCAGTCAGGGGCATGATCCCTGATCAATGTAGCTAGGCTAGCAAAAGCCCCTAGCATAAACATGGTTATAGCAGCAAAACTGTTCTTTTGCCAGGAATACAGAATACTGGAATAGCTCTGTTAGCCAAGCACTCTCACTGTAGACCTGGCCTTAATCAGAATTGAGTGGGTTTGTGTGTAGAATGGTATTAGTATGTCATTCGCACACTGCAGTTGCTGCTAAGTGCCAAGAGAAGCAACAGTGTGCCAGGGAGATCAGTCAGAGGTGCCATTTGCCTAGTGGAGTTTTTAAATAGTCCACAAGGTTAAGGGACTAACAAAATCTCTGAATAAGAAGGTGCGTTACCACCCTCCCTTCCCCCAGAGACGCAGGAATTTATGTACACACAATTATAGAAACAACACTAGCAGGATTAAAAGCAAAGCAACAGTGTTCATCCTTGGCAGTCATTTGCCCTTGTGGTTGAGAGGAAAAATTAGATAGGAAGAGATGTCTTCCAGGCTCAGCTCTGTGGAGGTATGCGCAGTACAGTGCTCCCCAGATTTCAACAGAGATACTATGGCAAGAGATGGTTTAAAGACTCATTCAATATAGCGGAAGCACCTCCAACACTGCACTCAGGGCTTCAGATCACTTTTTCCAACGCAATCTTCTTGCTCATTTTAAGCCCAGAAGTAGAGCATGTAGGGATGGGTTTGTTCTTGCAAAGAAATTTGCGAGTGGTGGTTGTGTTGTTTTCTTCAAAAAGTTTCTGTTTTTGGTGAAAGCCTGAAAATACCATGCTGCTGCCCCTCCACTCCCAAATTAGTTTGTGGTTGCTAAAAACTAAATAGGTTTAGCATTTGAGCAAAAACCTGAAAAAAAAAAAAAATCACACACACACCCACACACACCCCATGGACTTTTTTTTTTTTTTAGGTCAAAATGGAAAGACATTTTTAGCATTAAAAAGTCACATCACATTAAAAATTTTGGCCAATTCTAACCCGATGGCCTTTGCTTACAACTGCAAATGGCATGCGTGTAAATCCACACGCTATACCAGTATTCTGTATTCCTGGCAAAAGAACAGTTTTGCTGCTATAACCATGTTTATGCTAGGGGTTTTTGCTAGTGATGCTGGAATAAGGGTGCTGGGGGTGCCCCTCTAGCTTGAAGTAATAAACACCAAATACATGGAAACCAGGGTTTCCATCATCAGCACCCCCACTATAAAAATTGTTCTAGCATCCCAGGGCATGACAGATCATGCAGAGATCACCAATCAGAACCACAGTGGTCAATGCTTGTGGAATGATGCTTTGCTGTCAAGCCAAGTACTAGCTCAAGCTTCCAAAGAAGAAATGTTAGGGCCCTCGCAAACCTCAGAGCAGCTGCAACAAGAAAACCAAAACAAAACACAACCAAAAATAATATACACTGGTGCCTAACACTAGCTCTGGGGAGAAAGGGGGGGGGGGGAAGCATGATAAACAACAGGTGCAGGCATTGAGCTCTGCTACATAAGTGTGTTTTCATTTACTTCAAGTGTTTGAAAACAAAACTTCAGATGCTTTTGACCACACTGATATTTTGTTGCACTACAAAACTGAGCTAAACAGGTGTGGAAGAAAATGGCAGGATGTGTGACAAACCATTTGCTCACAAAAAGGCATTGGAAAACAGTGTAGGATACTCCATGAATGTCATATGTTCCAGACAGCAACCTGAAAGTTCAGCTACTTAGCTACATTGGGGTTGGAAGACTCATGGGAAGGCTCTTTACAGTATTTCACCTGTTGGTAGCCAAAGTCAGCACCAAAGCAGAAGCCAAGCTAGGTTTCCAAATACTCTTAGAAATAGAGGATTAGTCAGGTTGTTCCCCATTCCTGAAGAGGGACCTAAACTCACAAGTCCTTCAGATCTGAACTTTGCATGTTAGTTCTAGTTGTTACCAAATATATTCCAAGACCCTTTTCCAGCCCTGATGATGGAGCTGAAAACAGCCAGCAGTAAAGGTGCTGCTCTCATTGATTGGCTGGGTACTTCACAAACATAGCTGGGTTTGAGGTAGTGGAGAGTAAGTTAGCAGTCTGCTGTACCAAAGGGGCACCCAGCACTTTGCAAGTATAAAATAAGAGAGTTTGCAATATACTGCAACCCCGGAAATATGAAATGCATTATGACACTGACTCTCTCACACACACAGCTGCCTTCCAGCATGAGTAGTTGGATTCATTACAGACACCAAACTGTCGATCCACAGGAGGACAGTGGTTGCCTCTGCTTCTCAAGAAAATTGAAGCTCTGCCACATTCTGTTAAATGCTGACTCGGTCTGTTTCTTAGCTTGCTTTGCAAGCCATTTCCTTCTCATATTGGCAGGGGGCGCCAGTTTTAGATGGTTTTCCATTTCAAGTTTAGATGAGTTACGGTGTGCACCTGCGCTGGTGAAAAATCCATAACAGATTAGTGACAAAGTCTTTTTCCAACCCCTTCAGCCCTATCAGGAGGGCAGGTCACGGCTATTTAAAAAGGGAGTAATCATTTAATTCTGACCATGGCCACAAAAACAGTCTGTGCCCTCTCTTCAGCAGAAGGGAGCTACAACAACTGAAATATGCCAGCAATTGACATCAGGAGAGAACGGCTGTTAAAGAGCCATCCTACAGTCAGAGAGGCAGGACCAGCATGTGGCTACATCTTATATAAACCAGCCTCAACCACATATGAGAATACCAATGCAGCAGCTGTCTTCCAAGCACCTACACCTGCACCAGAGAGCCCAGGATAAAGCCTTCACACGGATGGTAAATTATGGAGGGGCTCAAGATGCAAATTAAGATTTCTGGAGTGAGGATTTTGAGGTGTACCTGGCAGAAAAGATTCAGGAAATCTCTCAATGCAGCACCCATAAAATGAAATTTTTCCTTTAATAGTACTGGTAATTTACTAAAAAAACTTTACAAATCTAACATGTAAAACAATGCATCAAATCACAGGTAGCACCTAACTCTTTGGGGGCTGGGTGTGTGCGATGCACCATAGAAGCAATCACACTGGGATCATAATAATGTTTCACAACCGTGCACAAGCAACTGTGATCACCATGTCAAAAAGTCAAGTGTGACAGCAGCCAAACCTTTGAGGAAACCTCATTTTTAAAGGAGGGCTTGGCCCCTGTAACTGTAGTGATTTCTCTAAACCTCAACCATATTCGTACGGTGGTGTCTAAGAACTGCTGTTTTCAGCTTCATTTCATCTTCTTTAAGTCCATTCTTTGCATTTCAGAGATGTGCCTACACCACAAACTGAACACTGACTCTGGACAAAGCAGAAACCTAAATAAAAGCCAGACGCAGCTGGCTCCATTGTTGGCAGCCTCAACACAGAGCAAAGAACTGAAGGGCCATGGAGAGAGGGGCTATCCTCTCCTCCCTGGGATTGGTCCCTCCAGATCAGGGTTCAGGCACATTGGCGGGGGGTGCTGTGGGGAGGCTTACGCTGCTGCTACCTAGGCTGCACCTGTTGTGTGAACAGAAAGAGGACTGTAGTGTTGAGTGCTGTTAAAGTGGCACCCATCACAAGCACTAAGGCCCTGTTAACAGTCCTCTCCCCCCACTCCCATGTTCAGCATTTGGAGTTGTACTCACTTCCAGACGACCTCCAGCTGTAGCTTGATGGTGCCTAGCTCAGTTATATCCACAATGATCGCCTGAGGCCTGGTTGTAAAGAAGTCGATGCTGTCACACGTTACCACACCAACTAGAATTGTGGTCAGTCCCCGCAGCTCTGTGACCTACAGAGGCACAAACCCATTTTCATTTTGCCAGATACCTGACACACATGAAGGATAGTTGAGGAGTTTAGAGAGGCTGGACTCACGGGATATGACTGAGTCCAGTTCATGCCCATGAGACACAGATTCTCTACCACCCATATTGAGGAACTGGCCAGTTTATGTGCACAATGAACATGGCAGCCTAGGATCAGCTCTTTGAGGCCATAGGCCAAGTTTTTCAAGCCTGGGTGCCTACGTTTAGGCCCCTAAATAGTAACGGGCTGATTTTCCATAGATGCTGAGCCATATGCTGCTCCCATTCACACCAATGGGGGCTAGGAGTGTTTAGCACTTCTGAAAGTGAAAGTCATCCCACTTATTTAGGAGCCTAAACTTAGGCACCCTGCAAATTCTAGTTTTAGTGTATATTCAAGTAACTCTGTATCAGACAAACAACCTGGAACCCTGGAGCCCATTTTGCTGCAAGATATATATTTTACAGCAAGCCTCACCCATCCCTGGATTTGACCCAAAAATCATCTAGGGTAGAGACCCATTAGATTATCTAGTCCAGGGGTGGCCAACCTGTGGCCCCGGAGCCACATGCGGCTCTTCAGAAGTTAATATGCGGCTCCTTGTATAGGCACCGACTCCAGGGCTGGAGCTAAAGGCGCCAACTTTCCAATGTGCCAGGGGTTGCCCACTGCTCAACCCCTGGCTCTGCCACACGCCCTACCCCCACTCCACCCCTTCCTGCCTCCACCCCTCAGCCTGCTGTGCCCTCACTCCTCCCACCTTCCCCCCAGACCCTCCTGCACACCACGAAACAGCTGATCGGGAGGTGCGGGGAGGGAAGGGAAGGGGAGGTGCTGATCGGCAGGACTGCCGGTGGGTGGGAGGCACTGTGAGCAGGGTCGGGGAAGCTGATAGGGGGCCGCTGACATATTACTGTGGCTCTTTGGCAATGTACATTGGTAAATTCTGGGTCCTTCTCAGGCTCAGGTTGGCCACTCCGGATATTCTAGTCCATCTCCCTACCCATGTAAGGCTGTTCCAGTCCCCAACTACCTCCGGAATGTGGACACAGCCCTGGTCTACCACTCCCTCTTGGGCCAGACTGAGCTCAGCTGCAGCTCAGAATCAAAGCCGACAGGTCTTCAGCATCCCTCTTCTCATGGTTTACAAGCAGCACACCCTTCATTTGTCAGTAGTTCATCCCAGTTGTAGCCCATTACACATGCTTTGCAGCCTGATCCACAGCTTCTTCAGGCACAGCTGAGTCCAGCAATGGCAGAGAAACAGCTTCCCAGTTCTCAAGTCTGTCTGCAGTCCTGGGAAGTGGGGCTGGAAAACCCACAACCAAGATGCAGCAGGACAAAGGCATATTACTACTTTTGTGCATCAAGGGGTCTGTCATATTTAGGATTGGGGACAGATTTAGCAGGTAAAGTTTTCAGAAGCACATACATCTCATTTGAGAGTTAATGGTAATTAGGAGCCTAAGTCACTTTTGGAGGTGGGAATCTGGCACTTGAAAATTTCACCCAATTCACACTTGTGTGGAGAGGGAAAGCAAAGAAACTAGAGTCAGTCAGGTTTAATAAACTGGCATGAAACCCAAGTCATATAACCTCTCTCTTGAACTTCGAGGTGAGTCATTTTCACTGGCATACAGAGCAATTCATGTTTTTGCAAATATTATGAGAAAACATGCATCTGAATTAGCTTCTCTCCTGATTCTCATTGTGCAGCAGGGAAAAACGTTTTAAGAACATTTCTAAAAGCTCTACTGGCTAGAAGTCAGGAATTCTTTCCTATGTAACTCACATGCTGCCAGAAGGGATGGGGCGTTGCAATAGCTATTTTGCATGGCTTCCAGGCATTGAAAGCCCTATGTTGGCACTACAAAACAATGTGTTTCACTCGTGTAGTGAAGGGTCCAGCCCAACCCTGCAGTCTATTTTAGTCTCAGCTCCCATCTAAGTTGATGGGAGTCATGACTGCAGGATCTGGCCTTCAGAGGAGTCCAGATCACAACAGGAGTTTGCTCCTAAGCAGCAGCTGACAGGTCAGAATATAATGTAAAACAGGTGGAAGCAGCAGTAGTAATAGTAACAGTAACAGGAGGATCCAACTTTTACCTAAGTGAAAGAATAAAGTGCCTACCATGCATCTGTATGGTATAGCAGGGAGTCCTCCAATGAGCCACTCTAATGCCAAGTGGCAGAATCCTGCCCAAAGATACTGAATAATTATGCCCGACTCACACTGGCAGGTGGATCTCATTAGCTCCAATAGGATATACATGGCTTTAGAGTATCTCTGGGGCAGAGGAAATTAGGGCCTGAGACAGAAGAGGTCATGCAGGGAAACCCCAGGAAGGGGCAAGTTTGGCTTATATATACACCCAAAGTATACATACATAGAGTTACCCTGCTCCAAAAAGTGTGTAAGAAAATCCCCAAAATCTTGCATGCAATATAATTACTCCATCCAAGCCGTGGACCCCTAACCACCACCAAATCTTGGATGCAGATCTTAGAAAGGGGTCATTCTAATATATGGAAAAGCAGAAGCATTAACCCAGTTGCCATTACAAGAGTCCTGGGAAAGAAAGCAGAAGCAGAGATCAGAGGCCAGCTCAGCAAGCAGAACATTGATTAATTGCTGTTTCTATGGAGCTGTGAAAATTCAGGTTGTTTTTTTAAAAGCGTGCTAGGCAGAGAGCCGGGTGGGAAGGCAAGCTACTTGCGAACCAATGGCTCCAATCCAGCCACTGCAGACAACTACCTTTATTTCAAACTTCTCATGGAGGTTGGGTATAAAAACCTTCTCTTCCTCATCCCATGTTTGGCTGTCATCCGTCTCAATTTTGCCCTTCAGCTTCCACTTCTGGCGTCCCAGTCGCACAAATACCTAGAAGCCACATAGGGAAGAGGCGGCTAGAATCAGCAAATCCCAAGATAGCGTATGGAACTGCACCATCCCTCCCTCCCCATACTGGAGAGCTCGGGCTTGTTCCTTTGATCGCTATGCTTTTTAAGAAGCAGGGGTGGAGTTGCCAAGTAGTTCTGTGCCCCACCTGTCCGGGAAGAACTTGGGTGGCTAAGTCAGATACCAAAGCGTACGTGTTGTTGTAATGCAGAGAGTGAGTTACTGTCGTGTAATGTCCTGCATCAGAGCAGGACAGATTTTAAAGTGATTTGGAGTTTTGTTAGTGGCAGGAAGAAAAAAAGTGTGTTAGAATTGAAACTACTGGGATGAAAGCCATAGGCTTTGTACACACAGTTATGCAGTCCTGTGCCCTTCAGGGCAGTTGTTCCAATTGGGATCTACCCTATGGATAGGCAGCAGTATTGCTACTACCCTCTTTCAGGGTGGTTTTAGACTCCAGGTCCCCAAAGGAGCTCTTCTGGAAGACTTATGTCTCCCAGGTACCTGGACACTGCCCTCTATCAAGGCACTTAGCCAAGTCCTTCAGCTTCACACTGAGGCACGAATAACTTGGTAGCTATGCAGCACCCATATAGCTTCTGGTTTCCCTGCATTCTCTCTCCTGCTCAGCCTACACATCCCCACACTCCCCACCTGCACGTTACAGGTGCAAGCCCATAATTGAAAGTTGTAAGAGAAAATGGATTGCTGTGTACTGCACCTCATACTGGTCCCCTGGGCAGAGACGTGCGTAGCCCACCAATCCTGAAACGAGAAGGAAAACCCCTTCTAATGTTTGTAGTTTGAGAGAGTTTCAAAATATCTATTAACAAATCTCAGCTTGCATTAAACACCCAGGTGACACTGATTAATGTCCCCTTACAGCAAAATTCATGTGGAGGAGTTGTTAGCATTTGTCTTATTTAATATTGCAAACTTTGCATAGGGGTGGGGAAGAGGAAAGTCCTGCTTCAACACTCACATATAAAAGAATGCTGCAGAGCAGGGACAAATTGGTTTCACATCAATGGGGGGGGAAAATGAGGTTCATTAAGAGTCAGTTTAGGTCCCGATCCAAAGCCCAGCTCCCAGACTTCAATGAGCTTTGGATCAGTCCTTTATACAGCAAAGCTGAAAAGCTTTCGGCTCAAGCGATGAATGCTGTAGAATAGTACAAGGGCTACCTTTCATTTTCAAGTGAAATTCTCCCAAGTGCACCTCCAGTGCCCCTTCAATCAGACACATATCCTGGAAGAGAAAGACAGAGCAATTACATTGACTGAAGAGTGGAGTAAATGGTACTATGAGAAAGTGGCAGCCATTTGTCTCCATTCCTGAAGACAAACACATCACAGACCAGTTTAGAGCGGTTTGCAAAGAACATACATTTTACACACCATTAACACTTCTGCAGACTGAGGCAGATTTTTTTTTTTTTAAAATGCTACTTTCAGGATGGGACGTTATATCCCAGCTCTGCAGAGGAGCAAGGCTGTTTAAGTAATACGCTTCACACAGTCTTCCCCATTTAGGATAGAGCTACACTTTGAGCTGGAGGTGTAAATTCCAGCTTGAGGAGACATATTAGCACTAGTTCTGATGGAGCTAGTGCACTGGAAAAAGAGATAGACCCTAGCCACAGCAGCAGTACAAGTAGAAAGATGGGCTAACCAGCCAAACAACAATCTTGTCCAAGACCCGAGGCACATACTTAGACAGGTAGCTCCTCCCACTGCTTGCGCTGTTACAGCTATGCTATTTTGAGCATGCTAGTGCCATCAGAGCTAATGTGGGTACGTCTCCTCAAGCTGAAATTTACACCTCCAGCTTGAAGGGTAGACCTACCCTGACTTACTCACACAGTAAGTTACTAACTATGGCTCCCATTGGAAGTCAATGGAAAGGGTTTAGCTGATCGCCATATTTGGGGTCGGGAAGGAATTTTCCTCCAGGGCAGATTGGCAGAAGCCCTGGGTTTTTTTTGCCTTCCTCTGTAGCATGGGGCACGTGTCACTTGCTGGAGGATTCTCTGCACCTTGAAGTCTTTAAGCCATGATTTGAGGACTTCAATGGCTCAGACATAGGATAGGGGTTTGTTACAGGAGTGACTGGGTGAGATTCTGTGGCCTGCATTGTGCAGGACGTTGGACTAGACGATCATAATGATCCCTTCTGACCTTAAAGTCTATGAATCTATGACACCCCGCGCCCCCCCACCCCAATAACTTCCTATGAAAGCTAGATTCAGTCCTAATGTTACAGATCAAATTCAAGGGACTTTCTATGCACCCTTCATGAACACATTTGGTTACAAGCAAACAAACCGCATTACCCTGTGCATTTCACTGCATATTAAGGGGGAAGTTAGAGAGCAAAATACTTTTATAGAGGAAGCTGTGAGTTGTAGCTGATGTTATGCATTTTCATCTAATTTTACATGTTACGGTCTAAGCCCAGGCCACCAAAGAGCCAACAGTTCAGAACAGCAGGTTTTGGTACAGTATCCACTGCTTTGACTTTAGACAGAAGAGTCAGTTATTTGTCAGATGCTTGAGGAGTTCTCCTACCTCTGTGCATTCTTGGAGGTTCTTATAAAGTTCTACCAGGCTCTCTCTGGAGGCTTTGGTGGAGGGAGTCAAGGAGAAGGCATGTTTCATATTAGAGGCCCCATCTCGCAGCCTGCATTGGATGCAGTAAGTTTCATATAGTTCTTCTACCTTTAATAGGGAAAAAAAGAAAAAAGAAAAAAAAAAAAAAGGACTCTGTTTTACACCATTCTGGGGTCGGCTTCCAATTTTAGTGAGTTGAGGGAAGGAACATTAACACGAGGAATTTTTGTTTGACGTTTCCCCTTGTAAGAGAGCAGATCCCATCGTTCTAGCACTGACTCGTACCCCCTACTCTCATAAGAAGCCTTTTCAACAAAGTGGCTCCAAGACTTCAGATGGAGGGAAGAGTGGGTAAAGGATTAATCCCACCAGCTAAAGATTTTTTGAGGTTTTGTACAGTACAAGAAAAGCATGCTAATGAGAGGGTCCTACATAACCTTGAAACATGTCACTGTGAACAGTCTGTCCCAGGTTTAAGGCCAAACACTTAAATAAAAGTTCATTTCCAGCCAGCACCAACAAAAACTACTAACCCACCCCAGAGCCTGAAAGCCTCTAATTAGTTGTTCCGCAGATAACCTTCAGTTGATCATTTCTAAGTTATGGGTAAATAGTTTCTTGGGGGGTATTGTTTTTCTGCTGTTTTGGCTACACAGGCTTCCCTACCTCACTTTGTTTTGTCTACCACGGACTCCAAAATCTGAGCAGAGAGCCATGTTTCTCCCAGCACTACTTCAAAAGAAGTAGGGCACCAGGCTTTGGAAACCACCACCACAGATACAAGACACAGAATAAGTAGCCCTAGAATTCTATCCAGCTCTCCAAGGTACTTAGTGTGGTAATGGGAGCCTTGTATCTGAGGGCCCTGAAATCTTTAATGCACTTCTCCTCACAACATACCTATGAGGCAGGGCAGTGCTATTATCTCCATTTTACCAATGGTAAACTGAGGTACAGCAAGGCTAAGTAACTTGCTTAAGGTCACACAAGAAGTTAGTGGCAGAACAGGGAATTAAACCTCAGTCTCCTAGGTCCTAGACTAGTGCCCTAACCACTGGGCCACCCTTCCCATCTCCAAGTCTACACTGAGGAGGCAACTCACAGAGTCAACAGGAGCATGTTGAGATGGAGAACGATGGGGCTGCTCTATTTGTTTAATCTCAAAGTGACTATATAGGGAGACCTATGGCACGGATGCTTCAGTGCTAGCCCAGAGAAAGGCTTCTGCTTACTCAGGCTAACCAATCCCTTACCTACATCCAAGTCATGGTAAAACGGCCCTAAATGGATGGGTGTGTAGGGTACATCATGGCTCTCAAGTGTGTGTTTAGTGAGGGCATGACTCTAAACCAGGCATCTCCAGAAAGCAGGTTCATTCTACTGTTACTAAGCCATGAGGCATGGAGGGTGAAAGGAGACATGGTTTAATTCAGGGGTGGACTAAGGAAATAGGGGGCAGTCACTGAATTCTGGGTTGAAAACACACACAGCTCCATGTATGTAAGAGATATTTTTGAGCCCTTCAAAATCAGACAGGAGATTGGTAGAATCCATTAAGTGCCACCACCTAGGCTTCCAGGAAGCAAAAAAAACCGAAACAAAAATAACCACCCTCTGCAACTCCTCCCAACAGCACCTATCTTCTGAGTAAGCTGGTAGGATATAGAAACTGGTTCTGCAGGCTGAGGCTGGGCTATGCCCAGGATTCAGTCTGAATAGAGCCATTCAAAAAAAAAAAAACACCTAAAAACAACCTCTCCTTTTCTAATGGAAGCAGTTACATCTTTCAGAAGTCCCAATGTTACTTCCCCACAAACAAGCTATCATGAAAGTATTTTCTAATCAGAATTTTTATATAGCAGTGTAAATCTCCCATACACAGAATATAGAGCTCCCCTTACCTTGCTTATATGAAATTCCAGTTTTCTGATATACCTTTCAACAGAGCGAATTTGCTTTAGAAAGGGAAAGAAGGATTAAAAGCTATTTAAACAAACATTCACATAATATGGCATTAAATTATTCAATGAGCATACAGTATCTGTACTTGCACTTCACTGTTCATTGCTTTCTGTGACCTGTCCTGTCCCTACCCCTCCAAAAGAATGAGTACTTACCTTATCCAGATCATAATAGAAAGCCTGAAAGACAAATATGACAAGTTGCCTGTGAATTCATTTGCACATATTAAAGACATTTCCACATCTGCTGCCAGAACAACTGCCCACGCTGCACCGAGTCTTTGTTTAAAGAGTTACAACGTTGTAAGCAGCATTGTGCAATACAGTGGGCAGACAGCAAGGCCAACATTTTCAAAAGTACCCTCTTAGTTTCAGTGTCTTGATTTTTGGGTGCCCAAACTGAGGCACCTCAAGTATGATTTTTCAGAAATAGTAAGGATTTGAAAATTGGTCGAGGTGGGTGGGAGGTTTTTGAATCCTTTATCCAGCCTTGGAAGGTTACTTTGTGTTCCCAAGGACAGTCCCAATTCTGAGTCTGAAGTGCTTTGTACAGCTTAGCACTACAAATAGCAAAGGTTTTGTGGGGATTTTTGTATGTAGCAGAATCAGAGTTGCTAGGACCTATTAATCAATGTTTCACCAGTTTTGCCTAATCCTTTTTTCTCCTCAGTTTCTAGACACAGCCAGGCACGTATATTACTTGCCAGATAATAATCAGCAGTTAGCTACCGTCCCAAAAGGGAAGGAGTGCAATCCAGGGAACACAGCAGGATACTGAGAGTTAGGACTCCTGGGTTCTTTCCCCACATCTAGCCTTGACTTACTTGGTGAATTTAGCAACTAGGTAGAATACTAGCCTCTCACTTTCAGCATTAACAAATGGAAAGCCCCTTTGAGTCCCAAAGGCAAGAGACAGTGGTTGTTTTTAAAACTCTGCTCTCTTTAAACCAGCTAAGCGATTAATACTAAGAAGCATCTTACCAGTCTGGAGTTCCTTTTTGTATCTTTGTGTCGAGCAGACAGATAATCCAACTCAGCCTGATGCACTTGCAGGTATTCACTGGAGAGGAAAAAACCCAAGTGATATTTTCTTCTAGCATGTGCAGTAGGATACTCCCAGGAACAGATTTAAGAGGGCCAGGTGGAGGGAGGGAAGAGATTCTCTGCGCCCCCACCTCAAGAGTAGCCAGAGGTTGGGAAGGGCTGAGCTGGTGTAGCTGAATGAACAGCTGGAAATGGGAAGGGGAGCCATGGCAGCTGGAAAAGAAGATGGGCTTCATGTGGGTTAGAAGCTGCTGCCCTCCTTGCTACCTCTCATCCCCTCACGTGCCCTCCCAGCTCCAAGAGCTTCATGTTCTGTTTCCCCCACACCGAGAACACAGCCAGAGCCTCGTTCTGAGGGATTTGTTTTAGACTAAGTAAGAGAAACAAGAAACAGCAAAAGTGCAAGTGAGCGGGCACAGCATGCAACTCACTGCGACAGCCGCCATCTTGGGACAGGCTGCCCTGAGGCATTCAAAGGAGGAACAGGGGCCCTCCTAATGCTGAAAAGTGCTGTACATAGGAAACAAAATAGTACATCTCCTTACACCCACGCTGTACGTCTATGTGCCCCTGCCTGCTCAACAGGAGCCTCCCTGCATCGACCTTCTTCCCCTCAGGACAACCCTTTACCTGCATGAGCCACAATCCCTTCAGAGGAGCCCTCATGCCTGGGCCTGCTCCCATGTCTTACTCTCTCCTGCCACCTCCCCTTTGCTTGGCCACCCACAGTGGGGAAACAAGAAGTGGGAGAGGGAGGTGTCTCCCAGCCTCTTTGTCTCCTCAGAAGGGAAAGGTAGCTTTGGGCCATGCTGCTGGCTTCCTGCTTAGCTTCCCAGAGGAGCACTGGGGTAGGGAAGGTAGCGTTCTGGAGCTCCACGCTCCTTGTTACCCTTGCGGCTGGAGCAGAAGCTGCCATTTGGGAAGGGAGGAGCTGCAGAGCTGACTGAGACCTGAGCAGCTCATTAGCCAGCTGTAGCTCACAAGGCCAAAGGGTTGAAACACTGAACACTTCAGTCCTCTGGGCTTGATTTTCAGCGGTGCTGAGCATCTGCAGCTTCAGCCAAAGTTAATGGGAGCAGTCAGCACCTCTTAAACATTCCCTTTGTTTATCTGAGCAGCTGGGGGCTGAATGCTACCTTTGCTGTCCCCTAGAGCAGCCATTGGCTACTTCCTGATACTACTGTTGCTTTTCCACCCCAATTAAAAAGCAGGGGCCTTACCCTGCAAAGTGTTGAGTGCTCAGCAGTTATTGGCTTCAATGAGCCCCATGGCAGCTCCCAGAAGACAAAACTCCCCCTAAGCTGATCCTCTTCCAACTTCATTTTAATTCAGAACAGACTTGAGTAAGTCTATTTTCCCCTTTTGTATTTAAAGAGCTGTAGACAATCACCTTCTGGAAAATGCTGCTTTACAAGACACAGAACCTGAACAGTTTGATGTGTTTATATTAAGCAGCCTGCACTTTTCCAAAATTACTCTGTTGATGTATTTTATTGTCTTACTATTATGAACACATTCCTGTTAGTACACAAAAAGTGACTCCAGCATTCAATTTTCTGCTCTCCACACTTGCTGATAACAGCTCAATGCAGTGGTAGTCAGAGGTTGTTTTTTTTTTATTAAAGTCATTTTAGGTTTTTGCAGCATTTTAAGATGCTCAGTTGGTGAGGAGGCACCCAGAAGGGTCATTAGACTTAAGGGCTAGTTGCTGTTACTATCTAAAAACAAAAAACATTCCAGCAAGAACAAATGGATTTAGTTTGCATCTGCTTAAAATTTGGCCTTTAAATTATTAGATGCAGCTGTTTTCTGCAGACAGCTTTAATTAGTTACTCAGTTCTGCAAGGAGCTTGCTCAGGAGTCTGACTGTGTGATGTTCTTCACAGAATTGGGACCATAACTCTAATCCATCTGACAGTTTAGTGTCCCCAAGCCCTAATAAAATATTGGAGTCAAATCAATTTTTTTTTAGGTTTAGAATTTTTATTGTTAATTTAATTCCATTAACTAGACACTGGTGTAACTTTTTAAAAGTCTAAGACATTACAGTCCTTGAGGGAAACCAAGTGTGTTTTAACTATGTGAACACAATTAAGTAGTTGAGGTGTTTACATTTATGGTAAATAATTTCAGTACTTTTTTTATTATGTTCTTAGCTTAAAATCTCCCATGGTATTAAAATCCTGGAGATGCCAATGTTGTATTTGAAGGAGCTGCATGCCAGCATGGTTCCCACAGATTAGAAGCACTGAGAGGAATTATAAAGCCACACAAAGGTTAAGATGATTCCATTTACTCTTTGTCTACTCAGTGATGGCTAGGTACCTAATGAAGTTTCTAGAGCTCCATGCTAGACCCATGGACATCACAGAGTTTAACTATTACCATTAATAGAAGCAGGATAAAATCCTTGGCATGAGGGAGGATTTGGTCCCAAATAAATGTGTTTGCCACTAGGTAGTGTGTTTACTAAAGGCCCAATTCTGTATCTAACGAAGACAATAGGAGCTTTGCCATTGATTACAAGGGTTGCTGTATTGGACCATTAAGCTAGAGCAGGGGTTGGCAACCTTTCAGAAGTGATGTGCCGAGTCTTCATTTATTCACTCTAATTTAAGGTTTTGCATGCCAGTAATACATTTGAACATTTTTAGAAGGTCTCTTTCTATACGTCTATAATATATAACTAAACTATTGTTGTATGTAAAGTAAATAAGGTTTTTAAAATGTTTAAGAAGCTTCATTTTAAATTAAATTAAAATGCAGAGCCCCCTGGACCAGTGGCCATGACCCAGGCAGTGTGAGTGCCACTGAAAATCAGCTCTCGTGCCGCCTTTGGCACATGTGCCATAGGTTGCCTACCCCAGAGCTAGAGTATAAGGAACAAAGTTTTGGCAGTAACAAAAACACTAAAGAAGTCAAATTCCAACAAATTAATACTTGAAAAGTCCTTACTTAAGTCCTTTCTTCAAAGCTTCAAAAATTTTCTTCACCTGCTGTGGTTTTGGATCCCAGATGACAGCCCCTCTCTGCAGGGAGGGATACATTTTGGAGGATTTCACAGACATTTTAGACCTCACTGAATTCCTGCTGAGAGACTTTCTGTAGGGAAGGGGGGAAAAAAAAAATCAGCACCACCTCAGAGCTGGAAGAAAGTCTCACACATATAGCTACTACAATGCTAGTTACAGAGCTGCTCCTGCAAACCTTTACTCAAAGGAGCAGTCTCATTGAAAACAGTGGGACTACTTAAGTGAGTAAGGGAAGCAGGATCAGGACCTGTATTAGATCCATAACAGAGAGTGGTTCAGGGTTTGTCTTTAACCCATCAAAGCCAAGAAATGGCTACAGCTCAGTGGGATGAGAGGCCAAAGGAAGATAGAGAAGATTAGGTTACGAGTGATAACTTAGAATTTCCTGGCTTCAAGGGAGACCACTAGGAGTCAAGTATGTCTCTTCTGTTGTTAATTTATATTACACACACACTTCCCCATTATTTGGGGGAACCAGAAATAGATTTTTATGTACTACCGATTCACAGACTGCAGTTCAAACACTCAGTAATTAATCCTTGTGATCTGCTCACAAGATAGCTTATGCCCTGATCCTGTAAACACATTCATACAGGGTAGGTTTGTAGAACTGGGACCCAATTGTTATTATCTCCATCTGTAAAATGGAGAAACTGAGGCAGAGTGTTTGTGGGTTACTCAAGGTCAGGAAAGAAGTTGGGGTCAGAGTCAGGATTAGATCTTGGGCACTGCTGTTCTCCAAGTTTCACTAATCCCCTGACAAATGGTCCACTCTCATCAACTAAAGGGATCATATACACGATTAAAAGTACATTAACAGACCAGTTCTGTGCTATTAGGCAGTCTAGCAAAGATATGTTATAAAAGGACTTCAGAAATAGCTACTGCTTGGCTGCTCTCAACACCTGTTTCAATATTCACTCATTTATATTTTTTGTCTGAAAGTTTCAAAATATGCCAGAAGTCTACCAGGCCCAGATTATAAACTAGGTTTTGTTGTTGTTTTGTTTTTAAATCAAGGTGGGGTTTTTTTCCTAACCCAAGCTGGCTTTCTATGACAGACACATTACATCTTTTTAAAGCAATTAAAAATCAAAATCAAATCCCACTTAGCTCAGAAATCCTGTAAAATGTCATTACATAATGGGCCTGCTGTGCAACTATGAAGAACAATAGCACCTGTAGTCTTTAGTCATATACCTGTGATGGGTAAACCGAGCCCAGAATAGGCTTTGAAATCACTGCTGACACTTGTCTCCTGTTGATAGATTCCTGGCTGGTTTACCTCCCGCTTTATAACTTCATAAACCCTGATTATTTGTAGCTGGTTTGATTAATTCCCCCTTCTATTTGCTTTTAACTCCTTCCTTTAAACCAAGCCTTTATTTGACAAAGTTAATCTAGGGAAATTCCCCACTCCTGACATCTATTCAGATTGTGTCGTTGGGTTGAGTTGAGGCTCCCTCAGCTTTTGAGTGCTGAGTAAATCCTGGATTGGACACACCTGGCGAAATGACAAAAATCTGAATTCTAGAGCTGGCCCATGAATTATGCAATGGGCCACCATAAAGAAGGTGCATGAAACTCAAGGTGTGAGGAAGGATGGTCTGGGGATTGGTTCTAGCTGTGTCACAGGCTTGCTCTATGACCCTTGGGTAGGTCCTTCAGTTAGGTGCCTAAATACTTACAAGGAGCTGGGCTTTCTGTGTCTTAATTTCCCCATTTTACAGTTGGGAATAACAATATTTATCTCCCTTGCAGGGTGTTGGGAAGGTAAGTAAATTAACGTGCCTAAAGCATTTTGAGAGCTTCAGATGGAAGCTGCTGTAGAAATGCAACATATGGTCAGTGTATGCTCAGAAAGGAGTCTGCCTGTGATCTCCTACTGTGTCATTCTAAAGTGCTAGTGAGAGAGCTTGTGACGGGAAAGGCAATGAGTAAATATGTTCACTTTGCTGGGGAAAGTCCTCTGGTGTTTCACCTAGCAATGTCTTGCTCTTAACACTTAGCATCGTCTCAAAATACTTTCCTAAATGTCTGAATTCTCATCCTTGAGCAAAACTTTCCTCTATTGAAAGAGTTAAGAGGCAATGGAATTTTGCAAATAGGAAAAAAAATGTATAAAGGCTGATTGTTTAGAAATGCTTTACAGCTGAAAGTAACAGAGTAATCTTAGGGGAAATCTAAACTTGCTTATTTGGAGCTTTCTTTGCCTGCTGGAGGTGATTTGGTTATAGAAACAGCTGTTCAACTCTTTTCCTGCTAGACTCCTTCCCTGTAAGAACTCCCACTATGTATGTCAAGCTCAAATCCGTTTATGTAATTTACTGTCTGTGTTTTTCTCGACAGTTTAGTTATCAGTGTGACTTTAGACATCTGACTTATGGTAGGACTATTATTATTCAGGTTCCATAATGAATTTCATGAATTCATGTGCAAAGACTTCCAGATTAGGTTACCAACCTGTGTCAGGTTCTCATTTCAACTCACAATTTTATAAATGCTGTGTTTGGTGACAAGGTTAATTAGTTTGTTCAGTGCTTTGAAAATACAAAGAACTGTATAAGAAGTGCCAGGTGCTTTACTGAGATACAAGCAGTTACTCAAGAATTGCTTTAAGAAGTGGAATACTTTTAGTGACATATTTTTTCAGCACTTCTATATGATTCAAATCAGTTCCCTTTGGTATTTTTCTGGCATATGTTGACAGCTAGAAATCTTCCATTTATATAGCATTATTATCCTAAAAACATTTCACAGATTATATAGGAATCGCTTAAGTCAGCACAGGAACACGAGCCACTCTTGGGTGGAAGTGGCAGCTATTTAACGCTACCTAGCAATGTTACCCAATAATTTAGAACAAGCAGTAAGGAAGATTACTGGGCCACGCTGCTGATAGGGTCCTGGGACTGAGAGAACTGGGTTCTAGTCCCAGTTGTGCCACTGAACTGCTGTGTGACATTGGGCAGTTCCCTTGATCTTCTCTGTGCCTCTGCACACCCTTTGTCTGTCTTGTCTATTTCAGCTGCAAGAGACCTACTCTGTCCCTATTATAATGGCATCCTGATCTCATCTGGGGCCTCTAGATGCCATTTAATATAAATAACTGCAGGAGGAATTTAGGTGCACTGAATGTAATTACTTCAGTTAGATTTTAACCAGGACCTAGAGCTAACACCCCTGTTCTACTGAAAAGTGCCATGAGATTTTTAAGGACTATAAGGAGTCAGGAAGTTTTACGTCGCCTCTCATAGATGGCATTGGCACAAGCATGCTAGTCACTACCACACTGCTGGGAGAGGGTTGTTGCTTTGGTACAGACTCAAAGCTTCAATAGGGGGGTTCTCTCCTCTAACACCAATGCTTGCAGCATTCAGTGTTCTCTTTGGGATCCCATCCAAACATGGATCTGTCACAACCCTGCTTCTTGTGTGAGATGTGAGCAGCTCCCTTATAATTCCCATGCATGTCCTTTAAATCAGTATCTAGCAGCAAGTTCGCAAAATAGATTTTGCAGGTATTTCTTGGTAAGTACAATTTTGCCCTCAACACGTCAGACCCATTTTAGGGGAACTCAGCTGTGCTCTTCCTGCCAGATGGAAGAATGATCCATACAGTCTGACCTGCTTTTGACTCTGCAGAAACATTGGGTGACAATGATAATGATAAATAGTACTTTAGACGCATCTTTCATCCCAAAGCAGTTTGCAGCCTAAAACTGATATGCAAAGATTGCTTCAATCACCACTGAAGTGCAGCCATCTCTAGAGCATGGTGAAGTAGCTGTTTAACTGTGCATAACAACAGATTCATCCATTGAGGACAAAAAAAGTAAGGCACACCTTATGAAGGGAGGATTTAGGTTGGCAAAAAGTGTTGACCTGTGTCTAATATCTGACTGCTCAGGGTGCATGTATTTGTTTTCACTTTTTATTCTACTTACGCTAACTTTCTGCTTTGCACCGTGCTGAATCCAGCAAAGGAACAGCTCCTGCTGATTCCACCCCCATCGCTGGGAGAGACAAATGTCAATTTCACTGACATGATAACTGGTCAGGAAGTCTGTGGCCTCCTGAAATAAACAGAAAAACAGATGAGTCTAAACCTGCTTGGCAGTTCAGGTTGAGCCAGTGCTGGACTGCAGGGAGGAGAAACCACTGAGCAATACAGCAGGCACTAGAGTTGCTATAAGAAAAGATTTGTCTGCTGAACACATTTTCTCTGTCACACAATATAATTAATAAACAACGGTGTCATCTGAAACACACTCACGCCTTCAGGTATTTGCTGATCTTTTTAGCAAACTCTAGACCTCATCCTATAAGAGGCCAAGCACCCTCAACTGCTGCAGAAGCCAGTGGGGCTGGAGGGCTCCCAGTATCTCATGCAGTACTTCCTACAATTTGCAACAGCCCTACTGTCGAAGAAGGAGGTTGATGCAACCCATGTACTCCCAAGTCAGTCTGGGATACCAGAACAGGACTCGGGCCCCAGCCCTGCAATCAGGGACATGAAAAAAGAGCCCTACATCCATACAGAGCCCCACGGAAGTCAATGGGGCACCACATGGATGAAGCGTGCACACACACACACACATGTGGATCTAATGGCAGGATCGGAGCCCTCGTTTGTGGTGCTTGAGCCCATGGCAGAACCTCGTCTTCCATCAGTAAAACTCAGGCTCATTCTCCCCTTCTGGTGAGTTTAATTTCCCTGGGATCCCTCACTTCTGTTTCCCATCAGTCATACTCTTTTTTGTTTCCTGGAGAATTATGTTCTCCACTGTATATGTATAGAATTCATACTGTAATACAAGTAACAGACACATCCACAAAACAGCTGTAGAAAATCATCCTAGGCAGTTAATATACAGAAGAATTCCCCTCCCGCCCCCCACAGGCTGGTGTAATGTAAACACCATAGCTAGCAGCTTTGCTTTCTTTTTTTAATGGGGCCATGAAGAGGGCCAAACCCTGACATCTTCTCTCCGTTCTTACTCTCTCCTTACTCGGGCAAAACTCCCATTGAGGTCAGTGGGGAATTTTTGCTTGAGTAAAATGTGAGAGCCAGAGCATCCCCTTCTGCAGAAATATTCGCGGGAGAGGAGAATGCCTCATGGAATTGTGACCAAATTACTCCATGGGGGAGAGGTATGTGCCTTGCACTGTGGAATGAGTTCCAGAGCCAAGATCCCTGGAGCTCAGTGTGCCTCTGCTCTGGCTCTCGCCTCAGTAGCATGGCTTCAATTAATAGCACAGCAGTCTTGGAGTCCAGAGAGCAGGGTTCTATTCTTGGCTCTACCCAGTGACTTGCTGTGCAAATGCAGGCATGGTACCCAACCTCCCTGTACCTCCGTTTCCCAATGGATGAGGAGGATGACACTTATCCTCCTATGTAAAGCACTTGCGCTTCCCAGGAGGAATGAGAGATTTTGAACGTATCTCCTGAATTCTAGGCTAAGTTAAGGGCCTTCCCAGTATAAGGCCTCTAAGTATTATTATCTGCAGCGATAGTAACTATATAAATAGTTCACATGACGATGCCCATGTATATTTTTCCATCTGATCATTTGAACCTGAATGAGAAGTGACCATTTTACCTGCAGCTTTTCAGCTAATTGTTGCCTCTACTTGAGTTCTACGACTTCTAGGTCCCTGCATGTTTCACTGGCTTGTCCAGGCTTTGGGGAGTTCACGAGTAAGCCAATGGAAAGCAGTTGAAAGGTGTTAGACCAAGATCCAACAGTCAGGCAGTGGGGCCAAACAGCATCTACTTTGCAACAGCCACTCAAGACAAAAGGGCCTGGGCACTAAGTATCTTTTCTCTTAGTACATTTAGCTCCACAAGATCTCAAAGGGTCTGATGCAACTCCTAGTGAAGTCAATGGAAACCCTCCCACGTGGCCCTGTTAGGTGTGCCCCAATCACATTTTAATCAGACAGCACGGGGCTTTTAGTTTCTTTGGCTGTGAGTGGGCGTCTGGTGGCCATCACTGTGTTTCAGGTTGCATTACAGCTTTCATTCTTGCCTGCAGTTTTCAGAAGCTCATAACTCTTTGAACAATCACTCCATTATCATGATCATTGGGCTGAAATAAACACGCAACTTACTGAAAAATATCATTGCCTAACAAGTCATTAGAGGAAGAAACAAAAGGAATGGCTTTGTGGTTATTGCCTGCATACCCCATGAAAGCTGGACTGGAGTCCTAGGTCCAGTCTTCCGCTCCTTGGGGTTGGGAGTCTGACAGTGGGGTGGAGGAGTATGGAGGAGAACCTTGCCTTATTTTATTTACTCCTCAAGCCGGTTTGGTAATGGACATTGAAGAGCTCTTAAAGGGAGATTTGCAGACTTTGAGGGAGGGGGTAATACACCACAGACAAAAGGAGGGAGGCTTGTGGGGGTTGGAAGATTGTGAGAGGCCCCATGCAGGAAGGACTTGCAAGTCTGAGCCCCAAGTTCGAAGGGCTAGGAAGTGTGAAACTTACAGATCCCAAAATCACACTTGATGCTGTAATTAAACTACTCTTCAAAAAACCTTGGGCCTGATTCTCTTCTCATTTATACTGGTGTAAATCAGGTGACACTATTGAACTCCAAGGAGTTACACTCGTGCAAAGTGGATATAAATGAGAGGAGAACCAGGCCTTGTGACTGTCATGATCAGCCCTGAACTTACTTAAACGCACGTGGGCTCAATTCTCAGCTGGATTGAATATGTCCCTTTAGTTACAACATTTAGGGTTATGTTTCAAAGAAATTCACTGGCAGGATTTGCAAAAACAGAAGCTTTTCTCATCAGAATAAAAGGGAACTGAAATAACCTCAGAGAAAACATTAAGGGGGTGGGGGTATCTTTATTTACTTTGAAATAACTGTGATAAAGTCAAATCATCTCATGGTACAAAAAACGTTTACATAGTTTTGGTGGTGACTCATAGCTCAGTTCACTCTTCTGACTACAAGGCCTTAAGTAGGATATCGTGGTAGCATCTTTTTTTTAGCAGGGAGGATTTATAAGCACAGTTCTCTAGAGAGAGGCTCACAGAGTTTTTGCAAGCCAGTGTGTCTATATAAAAGTGCTGAACTGCATTACAACTGCTCCTGGAAAAAAGCACCTGGCCATATCTCAAACCAGTTCTTCCCTCAGGTTAGGAGTGACTCAGACAAGGACCTCCAGCAAAACTTAGTTGAAAATCAATCTCAGAAGTTTACTAACCTGGTAATCTCTGCTGGGTGGGTCAATGTCTTCAAATCTCAAAATTTTGGGAGTTAACCCTTGGGGTCAGACTCAGAGGTACTTTCCCAATCCCAGAAGTCCCAGAAAGCATAAAATGGGATGACAGCGGCTGACTGGGGCCCAGCACATGTAAAATACCAGACATCAGACTGAATGTAAGGAGCAGGCTACTGGGTGATGGAATTGTTAGGGGAATACATCTAAGGCCAGTAGAAGGGTTGGGCTGAGAGGAAAAAGGACAGGGACTGAGAGTCTAAGTGTCCACATTTTGATGGGGCTTAAGCAACTCTCCCAAACTGTCAGAGATTAACTCAGTCAAATGTTAAGTGTCTGATTTTGCTGCATTGAGATTCTAATTCCCTCAAAATAAATTTTGTATTTTTTGATGTAAGGGAATAAGCTAATTTGTCCCAATTTTAACAACTTGCAATGCCACAAAGACACTTTAACACTGTGCTGCACCGTTCTCATATAACCAGGCTATAGGGCCAAAGATTCAACTATACTCAGCAAGAGGTACTAAAACTCAGCTCAGGTTGCCTGCAGTACTCAGAATCTGTTAGTATTAGGATATTCCTAAAGCCAAACTACCCTCATCCCCCGCAAAGAAAAACCTAATTTCTGTTTGTGTTTATGCCTAAACTTTTCCTACCCTCGTCACATACTTGCTTGTTTCTGGGCACAACAGTTTCAACAATTTTATGAGGAAAATATGATTCATTGACTTCTTGCAAATGTTTCTGCTGATGTTTTGTCCTTTTAAACTAGTAGTTATGTTTTTTAAATGACTCCAAGAAATTTATTTGTACTCATTATACTATCGCTAGAGAAGGCATTAGTGCCTGTATAAAATAGTAAAACATCCCATTTCTGTTAATTAAACACACTTGCTTCCATTTAGTGTATGTCTGAAAATAATTGTACTTGAGTTTTGCTTCCTGCAATAACTTGTGGATACATATATTAGTAATTAGATCTCTCCTGACCTATTTGTACCAACATATCAGATGGCTACTCATATAATTAATAAATATTTGCACCCACAGTTCATTGCATGCAGCAAAATGTGGGCTCAGCTATCTACTGCTACAGAACACTATCCACAAAAATGGAGGCCAGGTTGAGCTCAAGGTGAATATCAGGCCTGAAGTCTGAACATCATCTCAGATCCCTAATAGGTATAGATTGAGAAAATTCCGTACCATCCTTCCATAATGTTGTAATATGAGACACAAGTGACTGAGTAGAGGATGTGTTATGTCACTGGTCTACTTTGTCTTTTACTTTGGATGTTGACTTTGTTAGACACATAGTACCCAAAAACCATTTTTATTTTTTGGTCCTACATAGATCACTCTAAATTTGTCATATACTGCTTGATGCTTACTTTCCCCTATCTTTATTTTGATTACTACTATTATTTATTTATTATTTCTGATCAATAATTTTGCTTTAGCTGCATAGTACTGGCATTGACTGGGTAGGATATACGAGGTGCTCCCTTTCTTCAGGTTTGTGAAAGACAAAGGGAGTTATTGTATTTTGTCTTATCACAATTTAATCCTTTTATGCAGTAGCCTCAAGTGTGCCCAGCACTTTACATAAGGAACTATGGCCCTGATTCTGAAATTGGATCCACATATGCCAACCCCTGTGCCCATTTGGAGCTTTGTGGCTATCAATGGAGCTTCACATGAATCTGCCTACAGTACATGGATCAGACTGCAGGACTTATGCCTGCTGCATGGTGGCCAGACAAACTGTGCTGGCAGGAATGGTTTCTACACCATTTTAACCAAACTCAATCTCCACTGTAGAT